AGGGAAAGGTAGGTATTGATGCAGTTTTTGACTTATTGATGCCATATTCATTGTTTAGACGCAAGTTTTGCTACATGAATGCTGTTTTGTTAATTTTTCAGGTTTTTTTGCTGTGTTTCTACGCGGTAAGAAACATTATAGACATTCCTTCACCTTGCGTGTGGAGAGTACGCATGTTGCAGTAAAAAAATTGTTGAGTTACTCCGTAAGTGATATTTAGTAATTGGATACTACGGTACAACTTGCATGCAACGACCAACTTGAGATCATTATCCAACAAAAAGTAAGAGAGCGCATCATCGCGGAGATGCAACTTGGGCATATGTTTCATACAATTATTGTCAAAATTTCAATGGAAGTTATGAAACAAGTATATAAGTAGTATAAAATGATCAATCCATCACCAGCTAAGCAACATGAATGTCTGCGCATTTTCTCAACAACAATGAGCATTCCATGTAAGCATGCGATGCAGGGTCGTACAATACCTTTGTCGGTGGACGAGTTTGATCATCATTGATGGTTGATACAGTCTGCGTCTGTTTCACGATTTGAGTTAAGGAGGCTTTGACGTGACGTGGCATGAATGACTTTGACGTGGCGTCTGCCAAAGAGTCAACTTTGAGACATAGGGAAAAGAAAGAAACTCCCTATTTTAGAAATAGCAACGACCCACCTCACAAAAGCTATAATTATGCATCTACCAATCACAAAAGTGTGAGCACAAAACTGTGCTCACATGTCTTTTTAACCTTATGAGAGTTAAAAGTTTAGATTTAAGCTCTTGCAAAGTTGTGCTTGGAGTTTTCTGGAAGTTTTGGCAAGATTAGGAGTTGGTGTAATAGTTAGTAGACAAAGGTGCGGAAACAAAGGGGCCTTCAGGGCAGGGTCTCCGGCGAAGAGCCTTCGGTGAAGTTCCTTCGGGGAAAGGCCTTCGGCGAAACAGTGAAACCCTCATAACGTTTTCAATGTGTGACACCTTGACTCAATTAGTGTCTTGTTGGAAAGAGCTCGCGACGCTTGTTCCAACGAGACCAAGAAGTCTTGAAACGGATAAGGCTTCACTGAGTTGTGAGTGTCGGAAGTTACTGATGGGTGGGGTTGAGGCGAGTTCGGCTTCGGACGTCTTCGGCTCCGGACGCCTTCGGCTCTGGACGTCTCCGGCTACGGACGTCTTCGGCACCGGATGTCTCCGGCTTCGGACGTCTCCGGCTTCGGACGCCTTCGCGACAACTGCGAGCAGGCCTTCGGCAATACGAGGTCGGCGAACTCAGAGTCGGCTAACTCCGAATCGGCGAACTCGGGGTCGGCGAACTCCGAGCCGGTGAACATCGTGCAGGGGCCTTCGGCGATACCAGATAAGGGGCCCTCGGGGGAAGGGCCATCGGCGAAACAGTAAAATCGTCATATCTTTTTCATTTGTTAACAGTTTGACTTGATTGAGGTCTCGTTGGAAAGAGCTCGCGACGCTCGTTCCAACGAGACCAAGAACTCTTCAAACGGATAAGGCGTCATTGAGTTATGAGCGTCGAAAGCGGCGGATAGGGTAGGACAACATCGAACCGGAGGATATCAAACCGGAAGACATCGAACCGGAAGACATCCAACCGGCGAACATCGTGCGGGCGCCTTCGGCGATAACAGATAACAGGCCTTCGGCGGTGTGCCTTCGGCGAAGGGTAAAACCGACATAACTTTCGCAATTCGAAACGAGTTGACTCAGTTAGGGTCTCGTTGGAAAGAGCTCAACCTGCTCGTTCCAACGAGCCCAAGAACTCTTGAAACGGAGCAAGGATCCGTGAGTTATGGGTGTCGGGAGTGACTGTTATAGATAAGCAAAGGTGCGGTCGTGCGTCTTCGGCGGGTGGATGCCTTCGGCGGTGCGCGGAAGAAGATTCCCTCCGGCGGAGATCGGGTGGTCAGGAATGTAGAATGTACAGGTGGGGTGGCGGCGGCGGCGTGGAGTCGCGCAGGGGAGTAGGCAGCTACCCATCATTGCGGGTGGGGCATGCAGGCGGGCTGTGGGTGTCTCGGCCTTGGATTTTTGAGGTGGTGTGTTCGGCCTGGGAGCGGAGAGTTGGGAATGTACCAGTGTGCGAGAGCTTGAGGTGTGCGTGTGTGGAGACGGAAGTGGTATCGGTCGTAGGATAAAGTGTGGTGTGAGCGATTTTTCGCAGGGAAGTGGTGAGAATTAGGAGAGTAGTGTGGAGAGTTCGAAGTAGGAGGAAGCAAACTCTCGTGGGTGGAGAGTTGTATCAGAGAGTGAAATTAAATTGGATCTGAGATTGAAGTGTAAAGTCTGTGAGTGGGAGCTGAAATCAGAGTGGAAGATCTGAGAATGGGAGCTGAGAGTGAAGTGAAATCTGAGACTGAAATCTAATAGTCGGAATCTGAATTTGAAACTGGAAAGGGAGAGTTGAATCTGAGAGAGGAATCTGGTGGGGTCTGAAGGTGGAAGCTGAGAAATCGATGCTGAGATCTGGGTAGGAATTGGGAGTGGGACTGGGATCTAGGAAAGCCCACAGCGGCTGTAGTATTGAGGAAATCACATAGAGTTGGGTTAGATCTTTATGTAACAAAGAGCTTGTCTGATGCTCTTATGGAAATAGTAGGCAGCAGGTGTTAGTTTCAGTTTTGGACAATTTGTCTATGGAAGAGGAAGTGTTTATCATCTCATTGTCTTGAATACACTGTGAGAACATGGCTTGTGATCAGAGAAGTTAGATTATGGGAGTTTGAACCCCCACCTGGACTACAAACGCTGAAGGGTGGGAAGGTTCGGCTCACAAAAAGAGAGTAAAGTAGGGTGAAGGATAATTAATCAAAAGTGAGAGATAACCACCTGCTCCCATAAAATATTGTAGTATAAACACATTGTGATTTTGACAACCGCATCAATAGTGCCACCATCGCAAGAAAGAACACAAATAACAAATATGAATGGTTCATCAAAAGTCTATTCAACCGCAATATTCACCGTTTCACACTTTTAAACATAGAGACTTGATGAAAATCTTCAAATAACCCTGACCTACATAGAAAAAACTTCGAGGCTTATGAATAACTGATAATTTCTCATTATTCCGTGATATACATGAAGAGTAATCTATCTCCAATTATTACTTCCTAATATCTCAAAAGTGGATATTTATTTATAATGTATAAGATATAAGATTATTGCAACCAACAACTAGGTCTTGCATTGGCAGCGCAATATTCATGCTTTGCTATTTTTTCTCAATCTAGTTTCAAGTCTTAATGTCAAGACGGGGAGAAGATTCGGCAGTCAAAGATTACTATTCTTCAAAGAAAACCGAATATGGTTGATTCTGAGAATACCCCACTAGAGATCGGCTAAAGGACAAACTGGAGCACACTAAGAAAAGTATATTTTTTGGCTTGTTTGCTTGAGGTCGTATGCGCCCTGCAAATGTCTGCACGAAGGACAGGTCTTGAGCATAACTTTATGGGAGAAGAAGATATCTCCACGAATAGTAAAACGTGTACACATGGTAACAAGTAACCATTGCCATGCAAAACGCATCGCTTGCATACTGACTAACTCGTCCATTGCAGCAGCGGCTGGTTCAAGTCTACGGACGAATCATCGCCTGGATTTGGCACGTTGAAAGGTGCACGTCAAACCTGGGCTTGAGATTGAGACGCAGATAGTGGGCGTTGGCCAAGCACAGCGGCCTAATGCCCTTTGTCAAGTCCCGATCAAGTCACTCACTGGTGCACTGCATTGGATTCCCGGGAGCCCTTCCACCACAATTTGTGGTATAAAATTTGTGCTAATATAAGCAAACACTTTCTAGAGTAGTAGGGATTGGGTTGCTACTAGTGCTTGTATACACCAAAACACATGTGGAAAACGGCGCATTAGAGAAGAACGTGGCGAAATGCTTGCTGGAGAAAGGTTTCACGGGACGTAAATTATCATTGAAATTACTACGACTTTATGTGCCAGAAGGAGCCGAAGGTTTCGAGATATTAGCACATTTTGGACAAGCGAGTCCAAAGTGTGCTAGGGTTGGGATGGTGTCGATAGGCCACGAACCGGTGTCGGCAGATGGCTCTTTTTGAGTAGAGGATAGTATACTCTACGGTGAGGAGAAAGGGAGGAAAATGGAAATAGTTTCAACCAGCGATTGACGTGAGGAGTGAGAGAAGTAACCACGAAGCGACACTCGAGTGGTCCAAAAGGTCAAAAGACGGCAAATTCCTTCACCATTTGATGGTCCAAGATCAAAATCTTTGACCCCAGATTATCGCACAGGAGCCGCGTTTCAAACAGTGCACAAGGAGGGAACTAATTCAAGTGGGGGATGGGAAGTCCACATGATGAGACCAAATTTTGACCACAGTGAAAGCAGGAGATTTCGAGACCTGGGATTACGTCCTGAGTGTCTTAAAACTACTGTACAGTAGTAGAAAGTACTGTAGTGGGTAGCATCGGGGTGAGCATATCAGAAGAGAAGAAAAAAGAATCGAAAAATTTGTGATGGTAATGTTTTATATGCTTTTCATCAAGGAAAGGACAAGGGCTAAACGCCTAAGGTAGGTTGTGCTTAGTTGCCCTACCGTATAATTCGAAAGGAACATAGGCACTTTAAGCTGTCTGGGAGATGCGATGGAAGGAGGAGGGACTACAAGGAGCGGGGTTAGAATAGTAGAATAGATGGAGGACACGAGGAGTAGTCGGAGGAGTCTACGGTTTCTGACAGGGGCCAGTCAAATTTCTCCCATGTAGTGTAGAGACAAGAAGAATCCAGGGCCAGGTGACCAGGTGTAAATCAAATCTATCCATCAATTCTCCCCCCTCACGATCCGGGGAACCAAATCGGAACAGCGCAGAGTAGAGTAGAGAGACAGGAAGCTGGAGAGGATACAAAAGCTCAGAATTCGGAGGTCGAGTACCAGACGTGAATTAATTGCTCTGACAGCTCCAGAGAAGGAAAGAGATAGATGGCAGTTACCACACTAGCAACGGTACCTTGTACAACAGGTTTGGAGAGTAATTGAAGGCCCAGTCCAGATAGGCTGAAGACATCGGTAAAATTAGAATAGTAAAATGGTGGTAACTTCCGGGGAGTGCAATTCAGCGATACCGTGAGAAATGAGAGGAGTGGAGGCTAGAGTGAGTTAGCGTAATTTATTCGCATGGTTTACTTGAGAGAGATAGATTCGCTTGGCATGTAAGGATTTCATAATCCGAGGAGAGGAAAGGGCTCGCAAGCCGAGGAGGTGTGGCAGTTCAGTTGCTGGCTGGGTTGGCCTGACACTTCTATCTGTGGAGTCCAGTGGAGTCCAGAGCACGGGAATAGGGTGGGGTGGTGTTGTGTCAACCATTGGAGACAAGCTTGCCAATACTGAGGCGAATATGGTAACATCCGGACTAATTTTCTGGACTATCTGCCATCGGCATCTGCGCTGCCAAAAGTACTAACGGGACGGAAGGGCAATTGATCACGCTGTGGTGACAAAACCTCCTCCCGGCTGCCTTGGCTACTGTGACCTCGAGGGCACGTTCCCACTGTTGAAAAAGGTATATATACCACCCTGAAGTAAAGTGTCGAAGCTGATAAATTCATGTAAGAACATATGTTTCAGCGGAGCGGGATCTCTAGGAGCTAGAGTTGTACTTTCTCTCTGCAACGAGATTGCAAGATGGTTCTTAGGAGTCTCATGGCTGTGGGTGATGTCAGTGTGAACGTGAAGGCAGGAAGTATGGCGGACTGGAAGCTGGAAAACTGCTGCGATCGGCAACAAGTTGCATTTGTTGCTGTCGTCGGTGTCTACATTTTCGTCATACTGGCAGTAAGTTGATTGGTCTTCATTCCAACAATTTCGGACTTCGTTCTGAAATGTCGAGTTTAGATAGAGGTAGACGGGTTACAGAACATCTTGATTTCCGAAAGTGGACCCGGTATCGGCGATACCAATTTCACTGCATGGGTTGCTGTGCTGTTCTTACATTTCGCTGGTCGCGAAGGAGACGAGAATAAGTAGATGACCATGCACAAACTGATTGACTTGTGGGGCGCATTGTATCATTGATAGACGTGTGAAAGCCCGGAGCTACGCCAACAATCAAATTTAATCAGTTTTAGCACTCTTGGGATGTATGTAAGTGGGAAATGGAAGGACTGTCAGAGTATAGTTTGGAAGAACTAAGCGGACTATATTCGTGTGCAGCTCTGGAGGACACCCCTCCTCACTCCGTTCAAGCTCATCACGGTCTATCTTCATGAACTCAGCCACGCTATAGCCACGAAGCTCTCATGTGGCAAGGTACTGGAGTTCAACATATGTTTAATATCTTAAAAAATACAGCAATTTCTACGACTATTTTCGCTCATTTTTGAGTTGCACAGGTCCAGGTCTGTTGGAGGTCTTCGTCTCGTAAAGAGGCCGCATGGTCCATAAAGCCTAAAGTAAGTACGGATGGAACGGTCACTGAAAGCGATTGCTAATTGACATTCTATGTGTACCCATTTGATCCCAGGTCGAAGGTATCGAAGTGAACCTCAACGAAGGAGGTGTGACACACACGCGGGGAGGAATGATGTGCTGTATTTTACCAGCTGGCTGTAAGAAAATGATATCTCTCCCTTTCTTCCAGTTTTCTTGAGCAGTTTCTAATGTTTCAACCGAACGAGTGACATTTTTTCAACATAGAGTATCACAGGTTCTCAGCGAGTGATTGTGACTGTTTTCAGACATGGGATCAGCATTTTGGGGAATGATCTTGATTATCATGTCAACCAACGACATCACCGTGAGAGTTGCAGCGGGAGCCTTGATAGCCTCACTTATCTTCACTTTTTTTTGGGCAAGAAATGTAAGATTACGTCCTTGGGTTGATGTTGTACTTTAAGATAAATACATTCCTGTTTCGATGTGTCTCAAGCGTGTAGCGCTGCTATGACTTTGATTAGAAAATGTGAAGGTCTTCAGAGCAGAAGTTCTTGGTAATATCTCCACGAATGTAGGACCTTGGAACTAACTGTGGATATGGAATGTACATACAAATCCCTCTGTGCGCAGTGGACTCTCCGATGGCTGTGTTTGGGTAAGCCTTTAAACAGACTATTCTGTATCCTTAATGTGTTGTTGCAAAGAGTACCTAAGTTGCCTCTCTGTAAATTTTTGAATTTCAACTGTAATATCCCGAACCAGCATATCACTCTCCAACCATATCTGTAGCCTTTCTTCTGTAAATTTTACCAAGTTCCAGTATTACTTTCTGTCTGACTTGTGTCTTGTTTGATGTACAGCATTTATTATATTCCTGGGTGTAGTCTGGGTGATCCAAGAGGTATCAGTCGTGAAGCTCTTGAGATACACGATTCTTTTTATTGGTAAGGCTATCAATCATAGGTTGAGTTTGTGTAATCTAGTTCAACTTTAGTTAGACTCAAAATAGGCCTGTCAAAGTTTGAAACTACAGCTCATAATTCGATGAGTGAAGGCCTATAGAAGTCTATGCCTTCACTTCTTTATAGATTTCATTTCATCTTTCAAACGAAGCGTTTGCGGTTGATATTAGACGAAGTGTCGTGGTGAGAACATGCTTACGTTCTTCGTCTATCAATATTAATGAGTCGAGGAGGTCAATACAATGGACAAGTGGTTCTAACTTTGAGAACATATTTTTCCTGACAGGTACCATGAATTGTTTGTTCTCAGTTTATGGTATGTTTTCTACTCTAAACAAATTATGAACTTGCTCTTATACAACGACTTCTAGCATGATCTGTTTCATATGAGATGTCATGTTTGGGCTATTAATTTACCAAATTTTGCGGTTTTGATGATATCTCCAGGTTGAATATACCAGTTGTAGGATCAGACGTGTATTAAATACTAGTTGGTCGGAGAAAGGATCCGCTCATGGTGGTATCATATCTAGAAAGTTCTTACGAAATTTTTCATGAATGACGAATTTCAGATATATACGATGACTTAATCTCAAGGAGAGTGCACACAAGTGATGCTGAGAAATTCTCGGAATTGTACCCGTTATGCCCCTGCAATGGGGTTGGATGGGGCGTTCTCTGGTATGTGGTGTTCTGTCTGTCTTTCTTCAGTCAGTTGAATTTTTAAGCTATACAGGATGATGTATGAGTACATTATGCTTTGTGATGTTAGAGCTAAAACCTGAAATTGCCAGTCTACGTGTTATACATGTAAACCGCCAATACATGCTACATGTATTGGCCGTTTATACCAGATTTGCACCACTGAAGAATGTTGTTGTCAATTCGCTACTAAAAGGAAATTGTACTCACAAGCCTCCATCCATGCAGTTCAGCCTGTGAACTCATGATTTGATCTGTGATTGAATTTGCAGGGGAATATTTTCTTTCATATGTCTGTGCGCAGCAGTCTATCTTGGTCTGATCATCCTGGACTAAATGTGGCACCTTATGACAACAAATGGATTAAACGAGGAATTTGATTTGATTTGGTTATTGAGGATGACAGCAAGTATCAACAAGAGAAGGTTCTGTCGGCCAGCTGCCCCCTGGTACACCGTCCCTTGTCCAGCATGGTGTTTTGTGAAGAAATCTGCAGGTTTCTTCAGTGTTCCCGATAGTCGGGCGCATTCCCCCTACGAGGTCTAGTCCACTTGTTTTGTAATGTCCACATCTGGAGCAGTTCACATCAGTGTTTTATCTTTTGGAAAGATGGACGCTTACTCAATGCATCATGACTTCCGTGACTTCCTCATCTCCCGGTCTCAAAATTCATCCAGGAAGCTCAGATGCGGCCATCTTGTTGGGATAGAACAAGTGCAGAGATGAAAAGCCAGCTTCGATTCTGTCCAGCATTACCTGTCAATACATAATTGACATGATTTTTTTAGCACATGTGTTTTATCTGCCTTGCAAGTCTTCGTTCTACCCATAGATGTCGGTGGCCTCTTTATACTTCATTCGAGCGGAACGTTATTTTTTGGTGACGATCGCCACACCACCAGTAGAAAGGTAGCAAACTCATTTTTTCCTAGTGAGGAACTGGCTTAGTAACTTCTCCTGTATGCAAAGCGGCTTTTGCCTCCTTTCTTGGAGGCAACCCACTATTACCCCGCAGATGACATCTTCGCAATGTCAAGTGGGCCACCTTGTGATTTAAGCGAGAGGCCACCAGGACAATGGGCACCGGTACGTTGGAGGAGATATCTGCCCAGCGCAAAGCTCGAGATGGTGAATGGTGGACCCTTGTGTGCTTTTGACGAAGCTAATAGGCCGACTGCGGTGGTCGTATACTCAGAGGTGTTGTACCCTAAAGGAGACCTGATCGGCAAATTGTTTGTAATCAGTTTGGAAGTTTGTGCAGTTTGTTCCTGGGAGTTTGATTCTTCCCACCCTCTGAGCATTGCGTTGACTCAACATGGGTGGGCTCCTTGTATTCAATGGTCGCCAGTTATATGGGTGACGGCCACTCACGTCTTCATATCCATTTAGAGTATGAGCATCGTTCCTTCCATCCATCAGTTGGGGGCTTCATGGGATTAGAAATCAGTGGCGCAGTTATAGGTCATAGGAGGATAGAATGAATAAGTAGAAGCATTGGTTGTGACCCAGTGATTCCAGTCATCAAAACTTGAAGAACAACGGGCCCAAGATGCACACGAAGAAGGTGCTCTGCATCGGAGCCGTACCTAATGTTAATAAACGATGTAATGTTTGCAACGAAAGATGGGATGGAAAGAACGAGAGATCGGATGCGTTGTTCGTTTTAGTTTTGAAGGATGAACAGAATTGCGAATCATAACGTAAATTTGACATTTGCTGATGAATGTGTGCTAAAGTCAATATCTCATCTTGAGGATAACACATGTAAATTAAAATCCCATTGAAATAAATCCAGAAGTTTATAGCCAACCTTTCAACCGCGTGTGATGTTCTCAGTTCGAACAGCTAATGGCACACGGTCCATAGTTAATAGGCCAAATTTCCAATCCTCCAGTCATCTTGCACGGGAAAATGACTATTCGTACCGCCTCTATCCTTTCTAGGTTTTCAAAAATCGATGTGGCTGTACAAGTCGGTGTAAGTCCTCAAAAGGATATTCCGTGCAGATGAATTCAACGTGTCAATGGCACATTAATTTAGTGCAACTAAATACCATCTGCTTCAATCTGCTCAGCTATTTGGGGAAAAGTTACAAGTCGGTACTGGCAAGTAGACTTCTGCACAAAACAAAAGTAACTGAAGAAAAGCGTATAATCAGTTGGTAAACAACCACTACATTACTGCACGTAACAGACGAAATCAGTTGAAGATTGCTGTACTGTTAAGTGTGCTGAACCACTGGGAATGTCTAAAGAAACCGATGCACCAACAGGGATGTCTTTTCGTCGGTTACTTTAGCCGATGTTGCAGTTCGTGAATTTTGTCCAAAGGCTTTGAAGTTAAATGCAACTTTCTGGTATTCTGACCCTGGTTTCTACTTCATGGAACTGTGTGCCCAACCCTGCTTGAGCAAATCAAAATATTCTTCACAGTTTGCAGTTGCGTTGAATAGTCTGGGGGATAACGGATGACAGCATATCCTCAGATTCAAGCTCTATAAATTGGGCCGATAATCCAAGGATTTCCTAACATAGGGCTTTCAAAAACCATGCAGAAAAGACGGGGAGGAAAGCTTCTTACGAAAGCTGAAACAGTGTAACATGTGCCTAAAACCAAAAAACCAAGACAATACTTGTGCACTTGTTAGTTGAAACGAGCAGGTGAAAAGCATCTCTGACCATCAACGGATAAATCCAATAGCTGAGGTAAGAACTCATCTTCAGGCCTGGCTTTTTGTTGATAAGTACGCGTGACACTGAGGGAAGATATTTGTCAAGCCAGTCCATCATAGGGATGGATTACGGTAGCCTGACCGACCGCACTCCATTTTTGAACCGTGCAGTCAGATAACAATAACAGGTTCACTACAAGCTTGTTCTAGAATGTGCTGGGATTAAGCTCGAAAAGTTCAGGTACCACTTTGCGGTAATCTTTACTGTCATCTTAGCAGTACTGTAAAGATTGGCCGAAGTCTGAACTTGTCTTGGTGATAATTATATTAGACCTACTCACTTGTTGTAAGATATATCAGAGGCCTGGCTGGAAACATATTGATTTATAAAGGGAGATTGCCTCTCTATATTACTTTTGGTTCCCGAGTTCTTGAGTCTATTTTTTGTTTGGATTCGCTTAATTTTGGATTTTGCTTTATGGTTTGGATTTTATTTGTACCTTAGTGGATGTGGGTGCATGCTTTTCCCACTCTCTGATGTAACGAAATGGACTGATAAGACAGCAAGATTTCACAGACAAGTAACAAGTTCAAAGTTAGAATTAGTGCTCACCGCACACTGAAGACCAGACGCATCCTCGCAACGAGGAATCTAATCCTCCGAAGTATCCTCCCATAGATATTGGTACAACCGAGTCACACCGTCCTTGAAACAGTTTCTTCTTCCGGGTGGACAGTACAATGGTATTAATTCTCATCCTAACGACAAGCGTGTCCTATGAAATCACGAAGGAAGAACCATTGAAGGAAGTACCATTGAGTTTGTACTTCACACGAAGGGCATGCTTTGATTTTCACCATTCGATCATAATGGTAAGAAGCATTAGAAGAAGCATAACTGTTAGGGATTCCAATACAGTATGCATTCATAGCGAGGAATACTATACAAAATGAGTGGGCACAGTGGGAAAAAACTTGTGATTGCTCCATAAATTATAACAAAGATGAAAAATGATCAACTAGATAGAATTTATTAAATTTATCATCGCTTAGTGTACAAACAACATCAACTCCTGACGTTGTATTGCATAACATGATGAAGGTGTTTTGAATAACGTTGCATAATCAATAATCTCTCTAGAGTAATAAAATTACCGTATTACATGAGCATTGATTTGCACTGAGATCACCCTCTACTTTACTCCTCACAACACGGACAAACTCATATTCGCTTAAGCAGAAAATAAGAAAATGGAAGAGAAATTATGCATGGTTCATTGAGGTATTTGAAATTGCGTTGATTTCACCATATAAAAATTGTGACACTTGAATCATTTTTTTACACTTATTCCTAAACTTCATATATAAAACACACTCACAACCTAATGTCTCAAGATTATTTCTCGTCATTTCAGTGCATCACATGCCAATATACTAATCTGAAGTAATGTGCACACCTACCGCCTGAATACGCACAGCAGATGCGGGTATATCCCCATCAAAAAATCCCAATTTTTTTATCGTGGTCTTCACATGGTTATACATGTAGAATGCCTTTGTCGGTCGACTTATTGATTTGATCCCACTCGGAAGGAGGTCATGAAGAAACCAGATCCCAATTGCAGAACTTTCACCCTCTGAACTAGGCAGGTTTCAGTTCAGGGCAGGACACGATTGGATAATGCGATAACTACACCATCCGCTCACAAGCCGGTAGTTCGTTAGGGTTTCGTACTTACGTCAATGTGGGACCTGCAGCACCAGACAGACATGGATTGCTTCATTGTACAGGAGATCTCTCTTCAGACACAAGGTCGCATTGTTGGTTTCCAACGAAGTGAGTCCAATCAGAAGTTTCTTGGATGTGGCTTTGGGATTGTGAATTGTTGTTCTGCTTTTCCCACTTCATTATAATTTTCTCTGGAATCAAGTGTGTATCTGATTTTAGAACTTAAATGAATAAGAATGAAATGGCAATGGGAAAAGACGAATATCTTATGAAAGTGACCGACCACGAATAACGTATACATGTCATTATAAAAAGGTGGAGTAACGATTCGGTTTGACCAATGGAAATCGTGTGTACATGGCTGCTTGCATTCGTTTGGCAGTGTGGAAATCTTAATGATGAAGGTAGGTGCATTTACTATGATAGTAAAATTTAAAAATCAAATAGCTGATTTTTCAGCACTTTGATGATCAGCCATAGGACTTACATTGCTATGTTTATCGTCATCTGGAACATTCTATACGTGTCTACACGAATGTGAAACTATATAAGATGTGAAAATTATTGTACTACGGGATGAATTCTTTCCAGAATCATTTTTCAATCTAGAGTATTCATCTTCCTATTACTCCGAAGATAATACCAAATACTTGAAAAGTGAATATATCTTATGGAGCCATTTTTGAAAGTAAATAAATGAGAGATCATCCTTTCATTGGATGATCGTGGAAAGTCGACCTGAAAGTGAACGGTATGACGATGCATGTAGTTAGTAGAACACTATAAGGACACGGTCACTATGGTCATTTGTAGAAAAATATCTCATTTATATTTTCATCTCTTGTACCCTTTCATGTTTACTCGGTGCCCTGGGGATCTCATATTTTATACAAAGCGCAAAAATTGGAAATCATGTCATCTATGTCAGAATCGCACGATGTCTTTGCCGCCCACTCTATTTTTTAAAGACAGGTCCGTGCGTGGCAGACGTGAGGTGCTTTCAGTTGTACTCCTTTGCTTCACTGTTTGTTTCCTACGAACATTTGCGTTAGTCGGTAATGTCCATGACTCATAGACATCATATGGAAAAATTTCACGGGTTAGGGCATTCTTATTTACTGTATTACAATGTAAATAGATTATGGGAGTGACTAGTTATCTTTCACTTAGGGTTAATTAACACTCACTTTACTATACAGAATTATCCAATCGGTTGATACAATTCTTCATTCTCTCTGATTGGTACATGGAACGTTATAAAGTTCTATTAGTAGCAACTAATAAAAATTTTCTCAAAATAAAATGTTCGATCAATTATAGCAGGATGAGGGCTAAATAACCCTAAGTGAGTGATAACTAACCTTTCTCTAGATTATTTATTAAACTCAAGTCAAAATGTCCTAAGCATGAATACTCTTAACCCCAAATCTAAGAAGTGAATACACTCTCCGCGCGTCTAGGCGGAGAGTGTATTCACTTCTTCTATATGTGCTTTACATTGCAAGACGTTGCTTAAATTTCACATCGAACACCAAACTAAAGTCCAAGCCATCAATCTTTGAACACGTAACATTCAAAATCCAAACAGCAAGTTGTAAAAGTTTGTGCACATTAGACGACGTAATGTCACAGCGAGATAATTGTTGGAGACAATTCTTCGCTTGGATGGTGTTGGAAGAAATATTCGTATCATGCAGAACTAGTCGCTTCCATTATGATACTGAAACGACGAGATGAACAAATAAGTATCTTCTTCTTTATTTGAATGAAATATATTAATAAACTAACTATACTCCAAGAATGAAAATAATTTAAGAGTAAAATGATTTAATCTAATTTCAAATGATAGATCAGATATATAATCAATTTAACACATGATTGATTGCAAAAAATAATAACAAAATTCAACTCATGATTTTAATCTGTTGAGTTTCAATATAATATAAAGATGAAAATCTTTTGATGCTATTTATCGAAATTTTAACATTGTGAAATTTGATATTATGCACAATCTGAGAAAAGTTTAATTGAATGTAGCTGGATAAACAACGCAAAGAATTTAAACATAGTTCAAAAATATGTAATGAATGAAGGAAGTGAATATTGAAATAAATATTCATATGTAGGTGAATTTTCCACCCAAAAAAAAAAACGTAAAGAAGAAAAAATTTTCAGTCACAATATTATTATCAGAAAAACCTTATTAAAATTTTCCATTTAATTAAAATTTTATTAAATTATAAAAAAGCTGGCGTCATATTATGTAGTAAATCTATAAAAATCCTTTGATAAATTATGAAAATTTCTTTTCCGTAGACGATAATTGAATATTAATCGATGAGGTGATTATATGACGTTAAAAGGAATAAATTTTTGGCAATATTTACCTATGTGAGTTGAGAAATAATGCGTTGGTTTTAAAATTTCACGGTTTTCATTTTTCCAAGGTCAGAAGTCATAATCTCTTGAACAATGGAGTATCAATCTTGTGAATAAAAGTTTCCATCCCTTATCATTTCTCTGAAATTTCTTGTGTCCCTTACATCTTATTTTGAAAGCTTCTGATACGTGCTTGTATGATATACAACAGGAAGTATTTATAAATTTCTGTACTTAACTTGTTCTCGTATAAGGTCATTCTAAACTCTATAATATAGGACATCTTCGAGGACTATTGCTTGTTAAAAAACCCTGCAATCATCGTGTTGCATTATGTGAGATCTCATTTGGAAACCAGAGGCACCGTGGAGTGGCTACCTACCAGCTACGGTATCCGTACTGTTCTTTACGTGACCGGCGCCCGCTGTATACCGCTGCCCAAAGGGCGAACGGTACCGGAGCGTGAGATGCGGGAGCGGCTTTTGAAATGATTGTCGACATCTTCTTGACCTTTCTTGAACTTCTCGATGCTGCTGCCGAAAACCTTCTTGAGGCCGGGCTTGGCATCGCTGCTTCGTTTGCCTATCGGTAGTTCTACGTTCATCCATCAGCTCAGATAAGGTCGGACCTGAGCACGCAATGGCCAGTATGTGTATAGCAAGCAGCCAGTGGAAAGCTGCGAATCTCCAACTCCTGACATCGCTTTCTTCTGCCCTGGAGTCATCTGGCTACCGTCTGAAGTTTTCATCCATATCTCCGGTTACAATCCTCAAATCCTCGGTGCTATTTGGAAATGTTGACAAAACATTCTGATGCTTTTGTTCATGTCTCGCCTGCGTGAATCTTGATTGATACATCTTATAAATCCGCGGTTGTGTGTCACGATTGACCGAAGTCTAGCATAGTTAAGCATAGAGGAGGGAATGACTGCAATGGGCTCTAAGTTACTAAGAGTTCACTGTGTGAAGAGTAGGCTCAGTGAAAACGTTTAATGAATTGAATTTTTCCCTTCTCATTCAGGACTTTATTTTTAATCAATCCGGAGTATCAGTGGCTTTCATTGTTGCTCTCTCATGGGAACAGCTTGCAACGTCGACTGCCTGGGACAGGTCAAGACATTGACATCATAAACCTTAGCCATCTCTTCCACTTGAACAAGATCGATCATAAATCATGCATTTGAAATTGACTTCTCCAATACTCTACTCAACCAAATCACACTAATCATAACGAGTGTACACACAAAGCACATGTACCGATTCATATTTTGTAATAGAATGCTTCCTTAGTTCTAAGGCTACTATTGAAATTTGAATGTATTATGACTTTCAATTTCATGAATGAAAGTGGTTTTGTTTTACTTCGTGTCTAAGACATAACATGCAAAACGAATGGACGGTGGTCCAGAATTAGTGATTATCGTCTTCATTTTCACGTAAACATGTGATGCGATGACTTCCAACCTCCACGTTTCATGTGCCAACGGTTGGAGGGATACGGTGCTTAAATCGCAGAACTTTGTTGGGGATGAGACAAATGTATATTTTCTTTCTTGGACTAAACATATTTCAAAGCACATCACAGGTTGGCCAAGATGGATGGTAATTTTCAAAGGTCTTACCTACTGACGCCGTTATCCTCGGATGAGAGGTTCATCGAGTTGTACTTCAGGTTATGCCTGCCTTTCTGTCCATTATGTACTTAGAAGAAACTTTTGGTATCCTCCACGCTGATCCTTGTTAAGGAGAACCTTACAATTGGGTTCGTTGAAAAATGCATGTTAAATTAACGTAGATTTCACAAATGTACAGAATATTAATGATTGATAATTTTGCTGAGTTACCATTAGCATCTTGTTGAAGGCCAGTAGGTATACTAATTAATTATGCATCTTGACAGATACAAGCAAAGGACGTGGAAACCACTATTAATTCCCATTCGCGACTGGAACATGGCTTTGAAGACAATGTTGGTGATGGTTAATGCACATGCAGGTGCGAGGTTTACTGCTTCAGCTGATTAGAAATGACATTCACTGATTTTCTTTCCCGATATTGTGACCGTGTTTATGTAAGAGAAGAGTACGGACCAACTAATGTTAGAAATGTGCTCAGAAAGCAAGCAGCAAGACGCAGTATCCCCGGTGGTCATAGAGGTAGGCGAATGTTTTGTCTTTCAGCATCTGACTTTTCTATCTATTGACCCGCAATTTTTTGGCTTCTATGAACATTCTCAAAAATATTCAATGAGTTTCAATCGAATAGTCTTGAGCCGAAGCTCCTACGATTATGTAGCTGTTACTGCTGCACGCTTGCATTTGCATTTGCATCTTCAAAGTATATATCCCTCGGTACTTATCTTCAGCTGTGGTTTTGTGCTACCAAATTTTTGATTACTGAAGCAACTCGAATTCGTAAGCTCAACAGAAGCAGTTGAACATGCTCTCTGTGCGATACCAGGGCTGGAAGTCCATGATGTGCATTCTGTAAGTATATCCGAAGTAGGAAGTGCTTGAAAGAAATTAAGTACAAAGACCTTCAGTAACTTTCAGTTTCCAGTCCGATCTTAGTAGCTCATGGACATTAACTAGCTGGATACAGACATTCACCAGCAGGATGAACATAATTATGAAATCAGAGGGAGAAAATTGATTAAATCTGAATATATATATTATGCCAAAATCGGAGCAAGAGAGCGTATTCAAGCTCTTCAAGGAACAATAAACAGCCTCAGATCGACTTCAATGAGATGTTGAGAGAATCAGACTGACTTTAATTGGACGTGTCTACTGACTGGCACAGCTTATGTATGGCATTGGCCCTATTGAAGCAATATCCCAAGCAAGTGCAGAGACAATCCTGGAGTTTACGGATCTGTCAAAAGAAAAGGCTCGGGGAGTCGAGGAGTTTTTCGGGAATGAGATCTATAACAGGACTCCTGTGCTTGAGTGATTACAAGATGGTCGGACAGGCTAACAGCTAAGTTTGACCAAACAAAAACACAGAACTCGCATCATAGACAGAATTAATTGATGAACGTTTATTGAGAGAAAATGGTATCAAACAGATTTTTATCTGTGTTTTGTATTATCTAGGTTTTTCGAAAATGAATGCTCAGAAGCTTTTTTCAAAGCCCAGATAGTAATCCAAATTTGCCAGCAAGCTTGCGAAAACTCACTAAGCTGCAAATATAGAATGGATATGATCGACTTTGGAGGGATAGATGCTGTAATCTATATTTGAATTCAAAAAAATATTCAAGATACAAGATTCATGCATGAATATGCCAGCGTTTTGCCAATATTAATTGTATGCGACGGCAACGGTGTACGACGGGAGAGAATTGTTGCTAATTCGTGCTAATAACCACTCGATGTTAACTCATTATCTTTCCTATTAAAACAGATAACTGTAGGTAGCTAGTAAAATTCTAGTACTGTCATGGAGGAGGAGACGGTATTGAATTGCATGAAAATAAGTATGTTAACGAAATCCAAACAGTCCAGGAAATATTACACAAGAGACTGGGTTCGGTACTTTGATGAAGATCTTACCATCTGGTCATGGAGTCGTGTATGCAACCCTTCACTCTCTTGCGCCAACTAGATACAATAGAGTGAACTATAGCCAGAATGACTTATAACGATGATCTAGATTCTTGGAAGAACTTTCTGTTGCTAGTTTGACTTATATATTTCAACTGTTCATATATGCCAAACAATTGCCGGCACTGGAAAAGCTGGGATACAGCACATGTACACGTTCTTCATACTTGGAGTACCTTGTGGTGTAAATGCTGAAGACGGACAATGATTCCTTTCCAACTCTTCGGGACCGTGGGTTCTGAAACAGCATCACGGCATGTGTGTTGTCAAGCATGATGTGTAAAAAATACACACACATCAGATAGGTAGAAGAAAATCATGCGGTCACTGTACCCCAATTCTTCAGATAATAATACAAATTCACGTTGTTTTGCGGGCCCAAAGTATATCCTCTACAGATTCTGAAACATCTGTCCTCCTTTGTCTTCTTTCGTCTTCTGTTTGAGGTTTCCCTGGTCTAGTGTAAAAGGGTTCAGCGGGGTTCTCGGCTATCTATGGCCAGACAGCTCAAGGATTTGTCCGTCTCAAAGCTGTTGCAGTTCACTTGTATGAGGGTTTCCTGAAACCTCTGGGACTGTTCCTTCCAGCCCACGGACAAGCTTTTTAAACCGAAATTATTACACATTTTGGTGGTTCTTGTCAGAATCTAAAACATACATCACGCATGCAAGTTCCAAGAGAACCATATCCACTTTCGTAAACGAAACGGGGATTGAACCTACCGTTGACGCACGAGAATGTCCTTCGTGATATATCTATATTAGTTTCATTTAACCAGGCCATGGAGATCTTTTCTCGAGTGTAATAATTCTCTTCTGTAGATTTTTTGTCACTGTCAATTGAGCTCAATCGACCGGAACCTGGATACAGTGTAGATTGGGTACAGTCCGCTCTTGGACGCACCTTCACAGAGCATTGGTCTTCAGGACGGATTTATTGTCTAGATCTTGCATGAGAAGAGCCATGATAGCACACCACCTACGACCTTGTCCGCAGTGTCGAGAGAATCTTGACCGCGGATGGTCACGGAAGAAGACTGGTAAGAGCGATCGATGAACATTGACAACTATTGTAAGGATATGCCAAGCTTCTACAGCCTTTTGATGGCGTCTTGACGGATGACTCAGAGAATCAACTGTCCGAGGGGCTACTGTGGAGAATCATGGGAGGTCAATTACGTTCTTCATGAATCAACTGACGTCTGCCGAAAGGCTTGAACTCCACGACGGTGGGGGAATAGAATACGAATTAGGAAGGACCCAGAGCTCGTGCCTTCATCCGTGGAACAAATCAACGCTCGACGGGAAGGACCGATTGTTCAACAAGTTGTTTCCGTTCTAGTGGAGCTATGCTACTGCAGAACTTGGCGATGGTTTTCCACCTTCGTTCTGCAGATCGTGATGTATCCATTGACGTCTGCCGAAAGGGTAAATCTCCACGGCGCACGGTGCAATAGTATACGTATCATGGAAGGGCCCAGAGCCCGTGCCTTTATCTGCGAAAGAGCTTTTGTCCGACGAACTGGTTCCATTTTCGTGGAGCAGCTATTGCTACTGAGGAACTTCGTACTTGGAATTTTTTCCAAGCTCAGTTCAGAATATCGAGGCATCCTTCGAGGAAGGAAGGTGCACATGGTGGAATAGAATGACTATGAAGGAGCTGAGGCATCAGATCTTCAGAGATGCAGAGTACTCGTAAGCCGCAGTCAAAAGGTTGTAATGCGGATGTACACCTTGGTCGACATGGGAATGGTCCTCAAGGTTCCCTCACTCCACTCACAAATTCCTCGATAACATTGTGGGTCAAGCGTAGGATATTTACACTGCCACAGACGAAGGCTGGACTGAAATCAGAATTTGACGTAGGCTTCTTTGCAATTCGAGGACTGGCCGATAAATGGTTACAAATCGAGTGAAAATACATTCTGCTGCGTTTCCATGACCCCTGCTTCCATCGTTCACGCCCATGCCCAACACTCTTCCAAATCTCTCCTCAGTTTGTCATTCATGCTCGTCAGTGTACATACATATATGCTTCTATGACTTTCTCGATAAAAATTCAACTGCTTTGACAGAAGGATTGACATGCTCAAAATGGAGGCAGGTGGCGATAGAAATGCCGGGAGTCGCAGAAACATTAGTAGATCCATGAAATTGCAAAAAGCCTCGAATTCTGCAGCTCGCTTCTCGGCATGCGAAGACCTCGTCATGACGTTCTGTCGATCATCAGTTGGCTTGAGATGAGAGTTGGTCGGGTTGGGTTCCATGGCCAGCAAGAGGTGGACGAAAAGCTACTGCTGGGAAAAGCTGCGCAAGCTCGACGTAGCGAGGGCTCTTCGTGGACTGAGGTACTCTCATAAAGCTACTCTGAATGGGTTTTTGAGAGATCTCCGGCTGCTCGAAACTGAAACTAGGATCACCGGCGAGCGCCTGCAGCAGTTCGTCAGGGAACATAAGCCCATCATCAATCTGATTCTTTGCGGGGGTCTGCCATTCGACAGCGATGACGAAGCCATGGGCAAGACATGCGGTAATGTACACATTCGCAGCAAGGATTCTGTCTTCTTGTCCCTCGGATTCCACGTACAGCTCTGTGAATGCTTTCTGCTGTCTGTGATGGGGCAACCACGTGCTTGGAAATCGAGTCTCAGGGAGATTTCACTGGACGGAGCTTCGTATAGTCTGTCTCAAGACGAGGTGGTGGCTCTATGTGCGAATTTGAGCTCTAATTTAAACGTGCGATCTCTAGACTTGCGAAATCAGAAGATTTTTCATTCCAGAGAGGGCTGCAGACTTTTGGGGCAGGCATTGAGAACCAACTCGACTCTGGAAAAGCTCTTTATTTCGTCCGCCGACTTGACCAGCGAAGGTGTCGAACAACTCACCAATGGCCTCCAGGGCGATTCGATTTCAATTCTTGAGGTTCTCGACCTGGGATTGAACCCGAAAATCGCAGATTCTGGAATTCGTCATCTTGCAAAGCTGCTGGTATCCAATAAAACTCTCAAGTGCCTGCAGTTGAAGCTAACGGGGAGCGGTTTTGAAGGTGCCAAGCTCATGGCATCTGCACTGCTACTGAACAGCACGTTGGAATTTTTCTCGTTTGGAGGTAACAAAATTACAGAGGTCGGGATGACGCTGATGCTTTCGCCACTGACCCCTGTCCCGACCAATTCGGCAACTGGGCGGAGTATCTCAGGGATTAAGCATTTGGAGCTAGAGGACATGGATCGCCTGGACTTCTCCGTCGGGGCTCTTGCCATGATGATCACCAGGAACAAGAAGTTAGAGTCCTTGAACATATCCAGAGCTCCTATCGAGGAAGAAGAATGGATGGATCAAATCATTCCTGCTCTGTACCAGAACCGCACTTTGAAGTGCTTAGATCTGAGGGGCTCCAACAATCTGCCCTCTGAAGGTTTCTTCGACCTTGTGACATCTGCGTCAAGCAAAACCGTGCTGGAACATATCGACCTGGCAGGAACGAACATATTTTCGAGATCGGAAGTCCTCAACGACGAGCTGAAGCTAAACGGGGAAATGCGAAGAGGATCGAAAGCGAAGAGGAGAGTGAAGCTCAAGTCGGGTCGTTTCATCCTGTGTGGATACTCATTCGCAGGTCGGTCTGAAACTTGCAAAGCTGAGCAAATTTCGTCTTGGAGTAAGCATGCAGGTCGCCCATGCTTTTTATCAAGCTCCGTCCACTTTGAAAAGTCTGATCTTGAACTGGCTGGTGACAGGAAAATCTACCATTTGCAGGTCCATGAGATACGTCGTCGATGGTCCTCCAGCATTTTATCTGTGCAGTGTGGCTTGGCGAAAGTTTTTGAGAAAATCTCCGCTGATGCGAAAAGCCCTGTTTGGAACCTCTACACCCTCCGGAGATGTTGACAACACGACTCGGGGATGCGATGTTGTGACGCTCAGGAGTGCAATGCGCAGAAGCACAGACATCGTTTGGGACTTCGCTGGCCACAAAGAGTACGATGCTCTTCACAATTACTTGTTTTCAAACTTTTCCAACTCTTGCTTTCTTTGTATAGCTAGTGCCTTCGGTGACATGCGTGCACGTGCACAGACCAGTCAGCGGCCGGGCTCTGAATCCAGGCGACTCAAAGAGCAACGAGACATTAAAGAAGAGCTAGAATACTGGATGCGCCTCATAGCTTCAAGCTCCAGGCCGTCTCCGAGAAGTTCTCAACGCCCCGTCGTCATGTTCGTTCTCACCAACGGAGATGAACTGGATCCGAGAATCCTGCGAGATGTGTCCCAAAGGACTGAATCCGTCGTTGCTGAAATGAGAGAGAGGTATCAGTCAGTGGTAGACTTGCAGCAAGGTGTCAAGGTGATAGATTCTCATAGCTGCAAGGACGTGCAAGAGCTCATGACAGCGGCGCAGGAAACTTTGGCCAAAGTGTTGCAGAACTCTGCAGAGTTTGCTGTCTGTGAAGAAGTGCGCCTAGTGCTGGAAAACTGGTCGGCCAAGAGCGCATCTAAGCCGATTCTGCGGATGGAAGATTTCCAAACCTTGTGTGAGCGGGAGCTGAGAGGGAGATTGAACCCTTCCGTCTTTGCATCTGCCGATCTGCATACCGCGAGGGGCCAAATCGCTGTGCTGAACAAACTGAACGACAACGGCGACATAATGTTTTCCAGCTCACTCGATGTTATCGTCGTGAATCCAAAATGGTTTGGCGGTGTTGTGCTAGGATCGGTGTTACACTCACTTCGAGGAGTGCAGCAACGGCCTGGCAGAAATGAAGGCATTGTTGGGTTCTTCAGGGATTGTCTGCACCCTGCAGGTCCAGATGCGGTGGGACTCTACCATGAGAATGGCTTTGTCAGAGAAGGACAACTCAAGGAGATAGCCGATGGTATGGAGCATTTCTCGCACGCAGAGCTGTTGAAGTTGCTGATCCAGTTAGAACTCTGCTTCGAAACAACGTCAGGGTGTGCAAATGAGCTCCAGGATAGTGCAGACACGCCCCACTCCGAATCATCTTGCGAGATCAGGGAACATGTCGACCTTTCGAAGAAGTTCTTCGTGCCTGCTGTGTTCGATGACGACGCAGAGACTGCTGTCATCGGCAGGCGACAGCTGAATTGGAATTCTACTATGCACCGAAAAGACTTCTGCTACGACTACATCGGCCGTCGATTGGCATGCGATACCAACGACTTCACAGTTTTCAGCACTGGGTTCTTCCCAAGGCTGCAAGTAAGAGTCTAGCTCTAGCTTCGTTTCGCCGCACTTCACAAATTCCTTGGAAAGTGGTCGAACCGATTGAACTAATGAATTACACCATCGACTAATCATTAAGCGATGCGTCTTCCAGGTGGCCTTGCATAGCTACTTCAGGGAGAAGGGATGGCTGGAGAATCGCGGCTTCCGCATGGATAGAAATCTCTTCGGTTTCTACGAGAACGGGGTGGAGGTGCTGGTCGAGTACAGCGGCGCCGTCGACTACTTCGTGGATATTCTCGTGAAGTCGTCGCGCTCTTCCACGTACACTGTCGAGTTTATAAATGTGCACGTGATTCAGCAGATTCGCCAGTTTTGTGCATCGCCCCAGGGCTGCCCTGGAGTCCTTCTTGTAGAATCTGTCATAAGGACAGTCTGCGTCAAAGAGCTTCATTTGTGTGTACATCGGAAACACCAGGCCACCCCGGTCGATGTCCTCCGCAGCCGGATCCAGGAGCACGGCCTCGGCTACAAACACGCTTGGCGTGAGAGCCTCGATCGTCATAGCGATGTGGACAAAGCCGTCGACTTGCTGCAAGGAGGACGAGGAGGGGACGGCTCAAATACTCCAGTGACAGTGAGAGGTGAGCACCATGAGAACGACTACCTGCTGAGGCAAATTTCTACTGTGACAAATTTCGAGAGTGCCTCGATGGATCATGATCATGCCGCGGAATGGGGCTCTGAAAATGTGTACAGCATGAACCCGATTCCTTCGGTGGACGTGAGAGGAGGATTTCAATCAGAATTTGAGAATGCTGCTTCCATTGTCGACCGCCCGAGTACGAGCACATTCGGAAGGGAGCGTTTGCCTTCCCTCCTTTATGCTTCGATTGACGACGTTGGATATCTGCCGGCGATCTGGGCGAAGGTCGAGGCAAAGATGGCGGTGAAAATACATCTCAAGTGTGAGAGTCCACACGGTTCTCACGTCGTGCCCGACCAGCAGGGTAGAATGTTGAATCTGAGGAGGGGCGGCAATTTCATGGAGCACGTGTTGATCTTTTTACGCCACGGACTGACAGGGAGTGCTCAAATTGCCGGAATGGATGTAGATGCGGGTTGGTTCAATTCGCTGTTCGGCAGTAGTTCCAACATGCCCATAAAAATCGAGCATCTTCTCGAGCTCACGGATCGACCCAATCCATCGGCACCCGCATCGAACGAGGAGATTTTGCACTCTCTCGAAACGTATCTCAAGGTCGAACCGCCCACTCAGTGGCTCAGAGATTTTCTGAACATGGATAATGGGCCAGCATTTCGGAAAGACTTCGACCTCTGGAAGATGGAGGTTTCAGCCACAGACGACATTGCTTGGGTGTGTATCCAGCACTACATAGAATATATACGTGGCTGCAATAAACTCCTTAGCCAAACAAGACAGAAATCAGCAATACGCTAGCTGTACATGAACTCGACTTGCTTGAATAGCGTCCACCACCGTCATGATAAGTTTCCGTCGATTCACGTCTCAGGTCATACATGGGTCCAGCAGGCAGAGACATGTACATCACTCGACAAATGCTTCACATTTAGCGACACAGGCAGCTCTCCAAACAACGATGGCATTAGATGGTCTCCTTCCAGAGATAGTCCAAAATGGGTATTCACATTCGCGAGAGAGGAGTTCAGAGAGACTCGCTGTCTTTGTCGTCAAGCAACTAAACGCTAGATTCACTGTCGGAGGTGAGGATGGAGAAACTCTTCAGAAACTTGTCAATTGTACATATATCGAGTTTAGGATAGAACACTGCGCAAGAGTCTGCTGCAGATATGTCCATGCAATTTTGTCTGCACCGCGTAGAGCGTTGTACAAATGTAAGTCTAACTTTGTAACAAATCTAGATCGGTGGCCGATGCGGCTCCCAAATCTCTACTACAGAACGTCCTGTCATTCGAAATGTGGTGATTGATAATGATATGGACTCCCTCACACACACGCACTTGCCACCATCACCACGATGAAGCGTGAAGAAGTTTTGAGGATTTTCAAGACTTCCACCTCAAAGACCGGACGATCAGTTTTGCCACTGACCGGTCTGGGTTGTCAACATTAGAAGCAGTTCAGTAAAAGCAAACCTCGGAATCACATCCCTTCGTGGATCTTGTCCCACTTCTCGCCAAGGTAGAGTCACATCTACCCAAAAATCTGGCAAATGAAATGGAGCCCATTACAGATCCCGATCAGACCAACCAACATGCTGCTGACGAGTCCGAATCTCTCAGAGCCCTTTCTGTACGACAGCACCTCTGTGACACAACTGGCTCACGCTAAGAATCTCCTCTTCAAAAAGTCCTGTACGCTCACACCTTTTAGGAAGCTAAGGGTTGGCTCGATCCAGGGAAGGTCAAGTTCAAGCCGACCAAAGCAAGTCCCCATCCAAAGCTTCCTCTCGGCTTCACTTCAGGGGAAGCTTTTTCGAGGACTGATGGATGTACGATGCTGCACCTTCCGGGCCTTTGCATCTCAAGGCCTCGAGTGTGCATGCTGTGCGCTGGGCCGGAATTTAAACCGCTATGGAGTTCTGAAGGTGTTATTTCGCTGCTCGGGTACAGGGAATCTCGAACCTTCTCCGATGCCAAAACATCAGCTTGCACATCTCCGGCGGCGTCACTGCGTTGCAGCCGACCTTCGCTTGCACTTGCAGACACTCGCACAACGACACGACGAAGAGAAAAATGAACATTCACGCGCGAAGCGATTGACAGGAAGTGATGGTCGTGAAAAAGTTCTTCTCACGGTATAGTTTGACTTTATTACTTTAAGCTTCAATTCGAGCATATTGAGTTCTGATATGCTCGGAACGCGCGAAGCTACATAAATTTCCAACCTGGGCTCGGGCGGAACGAGAGGCGTTTATGCTGTACACCGAATGAATAGATGGAAATCAATCTCAATGCACCTTCCGACAGAGGGCACGAGCACTGCATGGCGCGCATGGATGCATGCGCTGCAGGTCTGTGTGCTCGGCCTCTGCTCTAAGTAAGCTCTTTATCTACCTCTGGTCCGGCGATGGAGCCCGGCGGATTCAATCAGCATGTCAGAACTGGGTTGTGACAGCTTCTATACGCACTACCACAATCTCTGAGTTGTCTGTACTACCAGCCTACGGAATCAAGCCTGCTTGTTAGAAGCGTCGATTATTGCCTCGATGGAGTGCGGAGGTCGATATCCCCACGGGTTTCTGCTGGCCCAATTCCATTGGTCGCGGCACATGTCGTCAATTCCGCTCTCGGCTTTCCAGCCGAGCTCCTTCTCGGCCTTCTCCGTGGCTGCGAACAGCTCGCTGGCGTCTCCCGGCCGCCGATCAGCAATCCGCAGGGGCAATATTTTCCCGCACGCTTTCTCGAAAGCGGCCACCATCTCCAGAACCGAAGTTCCCCGCCCCGTGCCCAAATTGTAGGCCGCGCAGCCGATGTCCTTGGTGTTGAAGAGCTTCTGCAGAGCAGCGCTGTGCCCCGTGGCCAAGTCCTGCACGTGAATGTAGTCCCTGACGCCCGTGCCGTCCCTGGTGTTGTAATCGCTGCCGAACACGGTCAATTCCGGCAGTCGTCCCACCGCCACTTGCTGCACGAAGGGCATGAGATTGTTGGGAATGCCGCGCGGATCTTCGCCTATGAGCCCGCTCGGGTGCGCGCCCACGGGGTTGAAGTAGCGGAGGAGGATAATTCTCCACTCCGGATCTGAATATTGGAGGTCGCGCGAAATTTCCTCGATGAAGAGCTTGGTTCGGCCGTAGGGATTCAGGGCCTCCACGGGAAAATCCTCCGTGCACGGAACGGATTTCGGTTGGCCATAGACCGTGGCGGACGAGGAGAAGACGAGCTTTTTGCAGCCCACGTCGGCCATTAGCTCCAGAAGATTGAGCGTCCCGATGAGGTTGTTGGAATAATAGTGCAGAGGCTTGGCCACGCTCTCGCCCACGGCCTTCAACCCTGCGAAGTGAATCACGGCATCGAAGCGGAATTTTTGAAAAATTCGATCCAGGGCGTCGCGGTTGCAAATGTCCACCTTGAAGAAGTAGAGATTGACGCCGTGTTTGCCCGACAGGTCCACCACTCTCTTCACGGCCTCCTCGTCCGAGTTGTCCAGATTGTCCACAATCACGACCTTGTAGCCCTCCAGCAGCAGCTGCAATGCCGTGTGACTCCCTATGTACCCTGCGCCTCCCGTCACCAGAATCCACCGCGCGCATTCCCGCGGCATCTCATTCAACATCTTTCGCAACTGATGATTCATTTCTTCGATTCAATCCCCTGCCCTGCCCTGCCCTCGCCCCTCTTCCCTCTTCCCTACCCTTTCCCTTCCCTCCCCTCCCCTGCTCGAGACGCCGGGCGGAGCACGCAGCCACAGCCTCCTGAGGCCTCGGCGACCTGCACCGCAAGTGAGAGACGAGCCCTGGCCCTCGCAGGCGACGCGGAGTCGCAAGCGAAACGACCAAGGTTGAATTTTGCGCTCTGCCTTTCGCAGATCGATCGATGCGATATGCTCGATAGCCCTCCTCCTCCTCCACCTCCACCTCCTCCTCGTCGTCTCCCTCGTCCGCCGATGTATCGGATCTCGGCACGGGCAATTGTGTTTGATTTCGTCGACGAATCGAAGAGGAAAGAAGGCAAGAAAGACGGAGAGAAAGCAAAGCAAGCAAGCAAAGCTGCGAGCGAGCCAAAAGCCGTCCTCCCTCGCACGCACGCCCGCCTCGCAGGCAGCTTTGCGCGAGCGAGGAGCGAGCTTGCCAACAAAAACAAGAAGTCACGCTCCTAAAAGAAGCGTGTCGCGTAAAAGCGTCCGTCGCCCTGCCCCTGCTTCGGCCTCGGCTCGCCCGGCCCCGCTGCTGCTCTCCTGCTGCTCTGCTCTCCTGCTCCTGCTCCTCCTCCTCCCCTCGCGCGCTCTCTGCTCCGCAAAAGATGCTGCTCCTCCCCAATCATCCAACAAACCTCCCCAAACCGGTACGCATGCCTCGCCCACCCTCCCTCTCCTCCCTCCCTCCCTCCCTCCCTCACCGCATCAACAACAACGACGACATCACCAGCACTGTGCGCTCATTCCTTCCTCCGTCCCACGAATTGCTCCTCGGTTCCATCAATCCTTCCGTCTCTCCTTTTCAAGCTGCACCTCCGGCCGCTCTCGCTCACTCTCGATCGCTCTCTCGAATGGTGGAGGTCCGGGAAGCTGCAGCAGGCGGGGAGGGAATCTGTGATGGGAAGTCGCTCTCGACGGGGGACACCTGTTCTTGCAATGTGAGTCAGGGCGGGGCGCAAGTTGACGCATCCGACTCACCGGCCCGAGCTTCCACGCCTTCACGCCTTCGCGAGCGAGGATAGAGTTCCAAGTGTGCAGGTCGCTTACGACATGAACGCATCACGTGACCGAAACGGGACGGCGGGGCGATTGCTTGCAGCAGCACCGCCCGTCCGGATTTGCTCGCATTCCTGCAGGCGTCGCGAGATTCTGGACTCTGGGGCCTCGGCACGTCGGATCTCTGCGGAGGTCAAAGGAGAGTGAGTAGCAGGATGTTGGACCGGAGCGATTTTTATTAGCAGTCGTTGTTGGGGCTGCCATTTCGGGAGTGGGTTAATTAGATTTGATGTCCTGCCAGCTTCTCCTGCTCCTGCTCGCTCGCTCGCCCGGTCAAACTCACCCCACGCCCTCCCCTCCCGCAATTAGCAGCAGCCGTGGTGAGGTGAGTGCGCTAATTTCACATCAGCGCTGTTCGTTAATTAGGTCTTTGCTCTTGTTCGTTGTTCGTTGGTGAGCATCCAGTCAACTTGAGAGAAACCAGGCGATCAGGCTTCTGGATGGGCGCTCGCGCGCTCGTCCAGCTGTTGGCTACACAGTGGGCTCAATTTGCTCGCTTGGGACAAGAGTTGCAGTCTTTTGCGGTCGTGGATGTCTTCTTGACTCGAGTGCGGCCTCGATTCCCACCCCCGCAATGCGGAAGGCGGAGATGTCAATCCCTTCGGACCAGATTTAGTACGAGGCGTCAGTGCCAATTACCTTCAGTGGGGTAGAAATCTGCGGGAATTTTACTAAATTGGCAGCGCCGGGCGATCGAGCGGAAACCCGACATTAGGGTGCGCCGGGCCCCGTCCGAGAAACGGACAGAGCTCAAGCTGCCATGCTCTCCCTGCAAGATAGCGACCGGCGATCCGATCGATTCTTCCATTCGATACTTCTTCGCACTCCCTCCGCCGCAGCTTCCTGGAGCTCGGACTGAAGGCGAGAGCAGGGCAGGCCTGTTGCTTGTGCTGCCGAGCTCCGTGCATCCGTGCATGCGAATGGAAGAAAGACCAGACTGTTGCCAACCTTGCGACGAGCCTCGTACGAACTGCTGATACTCGGCGGACGAGAATCACATGCGCACCGACCTTACGGACGTGGAGACTTCCACTGCTCTGGGGTGCTGCTGAGAGGTGCGCACATTGACAGTTGCCGAACAGCAGAGCGATGGCGGACGCGGAGGAGCACGTCCCAGTCTTCAAGTCGCTGAAAGATGTGTATGGCAACAAGGAGACGCTGTGGGAGGCGCAATTGCGGTACCAGAAGCTGAAGACGAGGTTCTTCGAGCTCTATGGGCACATTCCGGAGCTGTACGCACGAGCGCCCGGGCGAGTGAATTTGATCGGAGAGCACATCGACTACGAAGGGTACTCGGTGTTGCCTATGGCCATCATTCACGACACGATCGTGGCAATTCGCCGACAGGAGCCCGAAGACGGGCCGCCATCGCTGAGGGTGGTGAACACGGATGCGGCTAAGTTCTCAGGATTCGTGTTCCCCGCGGACCCATTCCAAGAAGTGGACAGGGCGTCGCATCACTGGGCGAATTACTTCCTCTGCGGCTACAAGGGAGTGTTCGAGCATCTGCTGGCGAAGGGAGTTGAGATCGGTGCGCCCGTCGGCTACGACATTCTCGTCGATGGCACGGTGCCGATCGGCGCTGGGGTGTCGAGCTCGGCCGCCATCGTCTGCGCGTCCGCCATCGCCATCATGGCCGCGCAGGGGCTGAGCTTCACGAAGCAGGAGGTCGCGGAATTCGCCTGCGTGTGCGAGCGCCACATCGGCACACAGGCTGGCGGTATGGACCAGGCCATCTCGATCATGGCCAAGCGCGGCGTGGCCAAGCTCATCGATTTCAACCCGATTCGCGCCACCGACGTGGCGCTGCCACGCAAGGGCGCCTTCGTCATCGCCAATTCGCTCACCGTCTCGACGAAGGCCGTGACCGCTGCCAGCAAGTACAACTACCGCGTGGTCGAGTGCCGTTTGGCCGCCATGGTGCTCGCGGCCGCGCTCGGCATGCCGTTGCCGGAGGTGCGCAGCGTCCAGACGCTCTCGGACGTCGAGGGCCTCTGCGTCGGCTTCGCTGCGACGCGAGGTGGCGCGGCCGCGCCCGTCGTGGCCGTCGAGGCCACTCTGCACGAGGAGCCCTACGGCGCGGCCGAGATCGAGTCCATCATCCAGCAGCGCCTGACGGACGTCTTTGCCGCCTCGCCGAGCTTTCTCGAGGTCCTCGAGGTGAACCGCAAGTTCCACCTCTTCAAGCGCGCGCGCCATGTGTACACCGAGGCGCAGCGCGTGCTCCAGTTCCGCGACGTGGTCGAGTCGGCCGACCGCGACGACCTCAAGCTGCTGCAGCTCGGCGCCCTCATGTCCCAGAGTCACGTCAGCTGCAGCCGCATGTTCGAGTGCAGCTGCCCCGAGCTCGAGGAGCTCGTCAAGGTCTGCAACGCCAACGGCGCCCTCGGCGCGCGCCTCACGGGCGCCGGCTGGGGCGGCTGCGTCGTCTCGCTCGTCGAAGAGCGCTCCGTCCCCGGCTTCATCGAGGCGCTCAAGAAGAATTTCTACCAGTCCCGGATCGACAGTGGCCGCATCCGCGAGGAAGATCTGCGCACGTACGTGTTCGCCTCGAAGCCCTCGGGCGGGGCCGCCATTCTCAACCTGTAGCAATGTGCAGTCGATATGTAGAAGGAGACGGACCGCAATTCGTCGTAGATTAGTCGATTCCCATATTCCTTTGCAGACGGACCGCAATTCGTCGTAGATTAGTTGATTCCCATATTCCTTTGTTAGTAGTCCACTCCCAGGGCGATGTTGGTCCTGCCCGACACTGCTGTTTCAGTTAGTTAGTTAGTTAGTTCAAAATTCCGCCCATATTCTGGGCCTCATCTTGCTGTCTCGGGGCAACACGGTGGAGATTCGCACCTCCACTGCGATCGAAAATGTGATCGCTCCCCACCAATTGAAGGGAAGGAGGAGCGTCACAAAGCGAGCAACCATATCCCACAATCCCCACAGGCTGCAATAAAGCGCATTCTTGGTCGTATCCCCTTTGTCATCCACAATGTCTCGTCGGGTTGTTAGCGGCTGCTACAGCTGCTGCCCCTGCCGCTACAAAATCTTTGAGCACGTCCTCTCGTCTGCTGGAAAAAGGCTCCCGCCTCCGCACTCTCGTCTTCTGGATCACACGTTTGATCACCGGATAGCGACATCCAGCGACACGTCAGTTTCCTGCCTCGCCCTCGCTTTTCGAAAACGACTCTGCAGCGGGCGAACCTTCCTCTTCGTTGTCCTCGTCCTGGTATCGACTCTTCCACAAATTGCCACCTCAGTTTTCAACGCCACGGCCTCATGGCGGCGTGCCCTCGAGTCTCGTCCTGATTGGCAACCGTCGCGCTGACGAGGACGCCTTGCCCTCGTCAGCTCGCCCGCCACCGTTGTCCGCTTTGCCACATGCTCCAGATCTCGAGACTCTTTAGCTTTGACGTTGCAGTCAACGGTTGCCCTACTCTGCTCTGCTGATGATTGAAATGCACGAGGAAGAAGTGCGATGGGAGCGATGCGTTCTTACCAGATTGATTCTCGAAAGTCACGGTGGTCTCTGTCTGGACTCTGGTCCATCTCTCGAGGGTTCGTAACATTTCCATCACGATGAGAAACACTAATTTCAAGTGGGCGGCCGTACACGCTATGGACTTCGGGTAGCCTTATGATTACAGTTTGTCGGAATTGCGTCAGTGCCGTACGAAATTTTGACGAAACGGTGGGCGACAATTTTTTACATGCAATCTTCTGAAACTCGTGATTGCAAGACGCAATTTGTCGTCAGAGACAAATTCGTATGCCGCCTCTCGCAGGACGCATATGAGCATCTCGGCTTGAAAGCATGTGTCGACCCCTTTCCTGCAGGGTCCTCACGGGCGATTGCAAGTACGATTTGTAGCTTGAAAGAACGTGACTCCAGCATTCCGTTTCGGAAGGGTCGGTAGGATGCGCACATTCTGTAACCACTAGCAACACGTGTGCCACACTAGTGCAGCTGGTGCACGCCCGGCGTGAACGCGAAGTTTCTGCTTTGTTCAGTTTTCTGGCAGTGATAGAGCAGCCTGTGTGCTGGCTTGCACATCCGTGCTCACGGTCCTCGCACTTCCTTGAATTCGTACGATTCATACACGAAAAGAATTATCTGTGTTAGACCTGGTAATGCTCACTGTCCCAGGGAGTGGACATGCCAAGTTTGTACTTTCGGGGAAATTCGATGAACAAGGTTCCGGCACTTGTCAGCCCAAATACTTCGGCGCTCTAGACCCTTCTGAAATACCTTTCATGCATTCAGTCCGTGCGTCAGATCTCCGGGCTAAGTGTGTCAGGAGCTTTTCCAGCTTAGAAGCAATCGTCGAGACTGAACTGATCACGAGTACATTCCACAACATCCGGAAGTGACCATGGAGAATGGTACACATCTGGCATTCTGTACGCATTCCCAACCAATCATGTGCTACTAGCACCCGGATTTCGAAGTTTCGAGCTTCGATGCTGAAGCACACCTCAATTTTTTATCACCTCCAGCACGGAGCAAAAATCAGCTTCCGAACCGCACTTTCATCCAACACGTGCCGCAGTGCAGCAGTTTTAAAATGACCATATACACAGCAGATGGAGATGATTTAGACAAGTAAAGATGTGCAACTCCAAACAATAGACGCTTCGTATTTGTGACCATACACAGTCCACACTTCTTCTCAACTTCTGCCTAATTGGTGCTAGACAATCGGAGGTTAGTGAATAGACCCAACGCATGACCTGTGACCGGTCGGATGTTCGAGATTTCGAAATTTACATGGTCTTCGAAGCCCAGAACGATTGGCCCGTATGGCATTGGACCCTCAGCCAGAGGTTACATGAGACTGATAGTGAACTGGGCGAAAAACTTTGAAGTCCGACTCGACCTCCCAAAAGAGCGTCATCATCCATCCTTCCGATTTCAGCTTCACAGTAGAAAACAAAAATAGTTCGCATCGGAAGATGGGAAAGCTCATACATCAGAAGATCCACAGAAATGACAAATCCAAACAGGTATAGGAGACCAGGTGAATAGTTGAGCTAAGACTCGCACTTTTAAGATTGTGGTGAAAACGAATGTCATCGGTAACTTACATGGACTATGTCACCCTCTCACAATGGTGAGATAATCAACCTCTGGCATTGGCAGCCTCCCAAATGAGACTCTTGGAAAGGCTTGGAGCCGGCTTCGATATGTCTCGAGCCTCCATGGCAGCTGCCTTCAGCGTCCGTAAAACCCTCAAGTTTGCTTCCCACCAACTTACAGACTCATACGGCAGATCGTATTTGTCACAAAGGGGCTTAACAAATGGAGCTACTTTTCTCAGGTTGTGGCGTGGCAGGGTAGGGAAAACGTGGTGATCAATCTGAAAATTGAGGCCTCCGTGGAACCAATCAGTCCAAGGAGATGACGAAATGTTCAAACTCCCTCTAACCTGTGACTCAAACCATGTCTTGCTCTCAGGTCTACCTTCGTAGACCGGGGATGAAAAATGATTCAACACGAACTGCACATGCTGAATACCAGTTGTTGCAAAAGCGCTCAGCACAAACGCTAGCCTGTGATAATTATTGGGCAGACAGGACAGGAGCAGGGAAAACCATGACCAGTAAAATGCAAGGGCGCCAAGCTCCCAAGCCCGGGTAGAGAAGGGCATCTTCCTGGTGAAAGCCACTATCAACGTTTGTGCATACAAGTTGATTCGAGCAAGGGCCATGACAATGTAGAATGTATAATGCTGGTAGCTTACGAGGAACCGAGCTGCTGCGTCGAAATCCATCTTCCTTTCATAAAAGTTAGAATAGAGAGATGCGAAGAACTTGGGCGTGATTGCGAAGAGAGGCATGTACTGGATATCTGGATCATAATCTACACAGTTGCAGGAGTAATGGTGGGCGTTATGATTGTTCCTCCACCACTGCATACCAATGCCCGTGAAGCAGCCTATCGAAAGCTTCAGATACTTGTCTATGCCTGTCTTGAACATTCCCGAATGGGCAATATCATGGCCCATGAAACCTGCTTGTATCCAGAAAAACCCCATGAGCACTCCACATCCAATGTGGATCCAAAAACCCGGTGAGTAGACCACGCCGAGAACACAGAGGACGAACATGGGGATCATCACAGCCAAATATTGGCCATAGACGTGAAGGGGATTCTTATAAAGACCAGCCCTCTTCAAGTCCGTCAGGAGTTTTCTGTAATCTGCTTGAATAGGAGAAACCTCGTAGTCTGTCAAAACCCCGATCTGGAACTGTGGTAGAAGAGACCACGCAGTTCCAGGATGGAAGGCTAAAAATGCGTCCGTTACATCCTGCCCTGCTAAGCTCTTCAGAGCATTCTCACCTCCTGGGTGCTTCGTCAACCAATCGGTGACATCATACACCTTTCCTTCGATAGAGATCCAAAGATCGCCAACTTTATCGTGTTTCCTCAGCTCCTCGCTGTTGATGCTCATGAAAGATGGCTTTTTGGATTCCCCATTCCCCTCGTAACTGACTGCCTGTCCATTAGGGGCCATCGTTTTCTCCTCCTAAACTAAAGAGGGTTTGGACCACACACTCCCACTGACCACACTTCTCCTTCTTCAAGGCCCCACGGCAAACAACTCCTCCTCACTCGGCAATGTTGCACCGGACTCGACCCATCCAAACCTGCAAATTCCGAAGTCAGTCAAATGGACCGAATAGTTGCGCGCGAATCATATCCTCACCAGAGCTCCAAACTGTTCTTGACAAACTCAAATGAGGTTCGATTGGTGCAACTCGAAGCCAGTCGACAAACAATAGACTGCATCGCATCGAGCATTGTATCTCATGCTTTTCAACTGCTCCACTATGCGATTGGTGCTCCACCGCACCAGTTGCCTCGCATCACTGCAATTCCTCGAAAAAATCTTCGACAATTGCAGACAATCATTCTCGAATCATAAGAACAAGATCGACCACCCTGTTCCAGAATGCCTAAAGCTCAACCAATCTGAACGCTTCCATTGAATCCCATTCACTCATTGCACTCGAAAAGAGCCCTGGAGCCTTGTCACACTGGGCTCGGCGACTAAAAGCAGAGGTGTCCACATTCGAAGAACGTCCGCGCACAAGGCCACATTGCATGAAACACCAATGTTGTGAGGCCCTATACTCACAAATCACTCAGACCATAGGAACCGAAACAAGGAACACGCGAACACAAAACAGGGAACAGGGAACCAAACACGCCGGACGAGCCGTCAGCACATTGTGAGTCCACTGCACTGATGGCTCGCATCGGATGCAAAGAAGGAAGGAATGGCTGCGATAAAACTGGAAAATGCAGGCAGAGATTGCCTACTCCGAGGGTGATACCATCGAAGAAGAAGCGAGGATAAGTATCAATCAGCAGCTCTCAGACATCATCATCATCGGGAGCTTCGATCTGTGCTGGTGATGTCGCATGCCGAGGTGGCGAAATAAATGACAGCTGCTGCAGTGGGAAACATCAAAGTTCGAGATTGCGGCCCGCCCACTGCTGCAGGCATCGACAGAGACGCAGCAGGATCGGGCCCCAGAGAGAACCAGCGATCGCTTCTGCCCTCAGCTTCGACGGCGAGTGCAGTGTTCCCGCTATCTTCGACGGACGACGCAGCATCTCAGCGTCAGTGTGCTGGCGGGTACTAACCATCGGCAAAGGTGTAGAAAGCATCACACCGTAAACGACATCTGATGCTCCGTTACCAAATCGAGATACTACGATCCATCGCGATCAAGGCCCCGGAGAAACCATCGTCTATTAGAATCACGTGCAAATTATTTACCTTAGCATCTACAACATTTCAACTATTGATATCAAAGAGGTACGAATAACATGTTGTTTGATGTGATTGTTTTATGATGAAAATTAATGATAATATTGTGTCCAAAAATATATCTTTAGAACTAACTCATACCATATATTAAGGTAAAGTTTACGTTATGTTAATCCTCTTTGATGTTATGGATCAAGATTTTTTATATGTACTTGCGAACATGTATGTTCATATAAGTTCTCCATCGAAGGTTTCACAAACCGTCAAAGCCATATAATCTTCATGCACACGTCCATACTTCGAGACCTTCGTTCTTGTTGCCGCACTCGCTGCTCATCCCCAAATGGATTATCACCTTCTTTAAAGTGTTACTTGTAAGTTGGGCCATAACCACATTTATAACCGTGATTTAGTACACTTGAGCTAAACATATATGTGATATAATATTGTCTACAACATATACCACCATTCATTCCAAGTGAGGCATAGATGTTCACGCGACTTCACAAACATCACATCTCAATGCATCGTGAGAATCCAAATATATTTTAAGTCATGTGAACAATTTGTCCTTCTAAAGTAGTCTAACAATCAAGGAGTAACTAAAGCAAGTGGTAAACCCTAATACATTTTCAAATCTAACTTCAATAACTTGCATTCTTATCGTACCAAGACCGTAAGAGACACTTTGTAGTACGAGGAACGATCACATTTATCAAGAGTGAAGATTTATTGAGAATGAAAAATGAATTTTAAAAGTAAATCCTTTCAATTAAAACTCTAGTCATTCCTATATGTTCCTCGAATTACCATGAACGAGGCTTGTAATGGTTACAATCATTTTGTATATCTTCATGTAACATCAATCTTAAATCTCCTACTAAAACAAGAAATTCCCCGATAAAGCTGCTAGTACCGGGTAAACTCATATTGGCTAAAGTAAAAAATAAGTAAATGGTAGAGAAAATAGGCATTTATGTATGGACTATCTAAACAAAACAAAATTGGCAGAGAGACAATTGTTTGTCTCTATGTCAAATTTTTAAAATTTCAATCAAGTCATTTTCATAAGTACAGTATCTTCAAGCACTACTTTACAAAGTTATAGGAAATACACAATTTCTAAAGATCTAACATTCAACATAACACTTTCATTCCAAAACTTCCAAAGTTGATAATGTTTACTCATCTTTTAGTACATGGAATTTCAATCATATAACATGAATATGTTCACAACTCGCTTGAGAATAATAAGAGTATCAGATGAAAATAAATAATGATGATATCGGTTTCAACGATTGTATCATTTCAGCATATCATAATGCTTTGAAATATTTTGTCAACATTCTCACTTTAACAAAAGGTGAGATCTGCAAGCACATCTGATCACGATATTAAGAATAAGTATAATTAGTATAATGTTAATGTATATACGATATTGTGGAGTTATAGTCAAGATAGAACTAAAAAATGGATATTATTTTATCATATAATAAAACTTCATATTGGATTTCTTGCAGGCCAATGAGTATCGCAAGAATAGTTAATTATATACATCAAGTATCTTTGAGTATAATGTAGAAGTAAGTATAAAATTTTCATTCAAAAAAATATATAGATGAAATAAAGGTCTAGATGTACTCAAAATTTGATAAACTTAAATGATGAATATATGCATTGAATATTTTTTAATCATTTTTTATTAGACATGTGTTTTTAAGGATCTGCAGTATTTTTTGAAATGTTATTTGTTTGTATCAATTTGTATATAAATAATTATCAACGTGAATCTAATCTATTCATATCCTTAAAAAATTTCAATCATATTTTTTAATTTGCTATTCATTTTATTTATCAAATTGGGCATGATTTGTAATATAAAAAAAATTAATCGTGCTGAAAGATTTTTAAATTATGAATTGAAAAAACTTCCGGTATTTGCATTTCATCTAGATATTCATCATTTTCAAATAAAATTCATATGAAAGATCATCATTGTCATGTTAAACCCATTTCAATCATGAAGACAGCAAAAAAATAACAACACTCAAATTTTAAAAGATTAAATTAGGCTTCGATAATTTTTAATTGGAAAACAAATGTAAGGTATCAAAACTAGAATAAAAAATCAGGCAAAAATATTCACATTATCTGCATTTCTTTGCACAATTTTTTGAAATTCAGTCTTGTGTCTAAATGTACGATCAAAACAAAATTTAATAGATTGAAAATATAGTAATTAGTTTCAACTCTATTTTGGTAATTATTTACTAAAAATTTATGAATTTATTTTAATACTAATCTAATTATTTGAAAGGTGTAAATTGAAATAAAGACCAATTTTGATATCAAGACTGTGTCTGTTAAACACATTTTAAAACATTCATAAGAGAATGATTTTATTATTTATCATGAAGAAAATATTAAAAATTTGAACAAACAATTGAAAGGAATGAATGAAATAAATTATTTAAAATATATTATACATGTTCTTAAAAATACAAAAAACAAAATAAAAAATATTTATATGTTATTTTTTTCATTATTGAAACATTTTAATTGGAATTTGTGATTCACGATAAATTTCAAGATAAAAATCTATATTAACCAATTTTTAATAAATTGATAATAATTTTTCAATAAAAATGATCAAAAAATTAAATATTTTAAATTATGATATAAATTTCAGTATAAAATTACGAAAATAATTTTTTTTATCTAAGATATAGAATAATAAATTTTAATCAGTTAAAATAACTCATTTTCCAAATTGAACAATTTTTTTAAGAACATCATGAAAAATTCATAACAAGTTTCTATAAATGAAATTTTTTTATTTATGAGTTTGAATTAAATTCTAAATCAATTCTTCATTTCAATCATATTTCTTATTCTTATTTATTCTTATTCTTATTCTTATATTTCTTATTGAATCATATTCTTCAATCTAAATCATTTCTTCATATTTTATATTTTCCAAATTTATTATATAAAGAGAAATATAGCGCAAAATGCTTTCAATTTACTGATTTGATGATTTCATATGCCAAAATTTAATTATATAATTGCTACCTCATATGAGGTGCTTCTGACTTATAGCTTTTGGGATTTCATTGTTTTGAATAGGAAATACATCAGAAAGTTTGTTATTGCATTTCACTTGTTTGGTGATTATATGTTAATCAATGGTGTAATATTGTATTTATGGACAAATTTTTGGCTAAATTCGTGATTAATAGCTTATATGCACTATGAAATTACAAATTTTAGATTCGATAAAAATATGTAAGAATATGTGGTATATCATTAAAATAACGTATTTGCTATGACGGTTAATATCATAACATGACATTGTGATTTTTCGTATTCAGCATGTCGTTAATCTTTTGATTTGAAATATAATTGATATTTTTTTTCATTATTCTGTTCTATTTTTAAGGATTAAAATATTCATTTATGTTCGATGACACAAGTTAAAACAAAAAAAACTTTTATAATGTAATATTTGAACATCATAAGTTCTTTATTGATTTTTCTCCAAGGGCATGTGACAGTGGATGTTTATGCTTGAAGTTTATAACATATGAAAGTAAAGTAAAGTAATGAACGGAACACATTTTCTAAAACAATTTCTATAGTATGAAAAAGTCAATATTTTGTGCTGTCGCGGATTGTGCAAAAGCTGATTTTAGAGCTTAACATCTAAAATCAGAAAAGATCAGGAAGAAAGATCGGATATATACGCATGCCTCAATACATAAATATGTTAGATTCTGCCACTCCATTCTCCTAGTATGAACAGTATCACATGTAAGTAACAACGATTGCCTTGGGTCCAAATTTGCGTAATATCCTTGAGAGTATCTCGTATATGCTTTCAAAATATTTCCGGTCACTGCAGCGCAAGGGTAGGATCTCGTTTTCAAGGTTTAGGCTGTTTCCATTTCGGTCGCCGTTACTGCTAAAGCGGCTTTGGCTTTCTTGGCTTCTGGCAACAGTACTGAACGTATATGATTTGTTTAAATATAACATTCGTACTGTTGACGCGGAGAATTGTGGGAAGGATTTAAATCATGCAGTAACTGCGAGAGAGAAACGGGAGGGAGGAAGGAAGACAGAGGGTTAGGGTTTCGGGCCCAGCTACGGACGTGCAGTGTCCAAGTTTGGTGGAGGAAAATCCATTCCCGGTCGACGAGGGGGCGGTGCCGCATTTGTGTCGTGATCGCGACGTCGAACAAGCATCGCGAGAAGGCGAAGTCAAGAAACCGGAGCAGTGATTCGCGTGCTTGCTTAGACGTGGAGTTTAGGATTACTTACAGGGATGTTTAATCTGATTTCCAAGGATTCGTGAATTGGGATCGGATGCGGCTGACTTGTCAAGAACGGGAGGATTCAGAGTCTTCTCAGTGATGGAGACATTAGCAGGGACGAGCGCGGCGTTTGTTCTTCGATCAAGATTAGGAACGGGTCGCCGAGAATATATCTGAAGGGGACGTTTTGGTGGTTTTTGGAAGGTCGGAATCGGGAAGAGGAGCAATTGCAGGTTTTCGACGTTTCGTGTCAGACAGTGGAGGAGTGGCCGTGTTCTTGACAGTGAAAATGTGATTACGGTCTCCTTTCCATGGCAGCGTTTAGGCCCATGGGTACTGCGCAGGGCCCTTTGTGCCCTGCTTGTGGATATCCTCATTTTCCATTCTGCGTCAGGCATCCATCGATGCCCCCCGCGCTTCCTCCACCCATGGCCTTCGCAGGCCATCTTCCACCGCGGGTTCCAGGGCGACCTCAGCTTCTTCATCCTCACCCACCTGCCCATCCTCCCTCTTTTATTCCTCCAGCTCATCATCCACCTTCTCTTCTAGGCCAGCCGATCTTGAGTCGGGGAGCCCCTCAAGCGAATGTGGAAACACAAGTTCCTCCGTCCGCGAAGGGTTTAATGAACCATCACTTGCAACAAAGTGGGAGACCAGCAGAAAACTCCGGTCTCCTGAATTCTAACTCCCGACCCCATGCTTTCCACACCCAAGTTCCGGACCCCTTTCATCAATCTCTTTCCCATTCTGCAATTAAAGACTCCACGAACCACTGTTCTCAGTTTTCACATTCTCTCTCACCTCCTAATTCATCCCATTCTGCTTTGTCCTCAGTATCACGTAGTCCAGTGAGTGGGTGGGCGGAGGAGGACGAACGCGATAGTGACAAAGTACCCGCCATGCCGCAATGGTTTATTGATCAGAAAAGAAGATCCACAGGCAAGGTTCCTCCCCCAAATATTCGTAGCGGTCCTGGAGAGTTTGCTCGACCAGAAGAAAATTTGACAGTTTCATCTTTCAAGCCGGAAATGCCTGTCCAACGCCTGAATCCGGCTAGAATCGAAAGAGACAGGCAGTTAGGATATGTTGACGGAGACATGCAAGAAAAGCACAGGGCGGAGAACAGATTACGTGAGGGAATGACTGCCGACAGAGAGGGGTCTCTTTTAGCTTTGTACCACCGTACCGAAATGGCAGGACTTGGAGGTGCCCACGCCGTTGGAAGAGAAGATTCAGGGGTTAATGGAGGAGGTCAAATGAAAGCTCCCTTTCAACCTCCTGTGGAGCATTTTGAAGGTGGGAGAGATGCAACTGTGGATAGGGCCCGTAGACCTTGGGGAGTTCCAGCTGGTGAGATTGCCAGAGATCCATCAGGGGAACAAGTTAATGCTTTTCATCCCCCTGGGCATCCCTGGATATCATCGCTTTCCCCAGACCAACATCAGGTTCCTCAGCATGCAGTAGGCAGGAGGGACAGACTAGACGATGGAAGAAATTGCCAGGTAGTAGACTCGGCATCATGTAGAGAGGAACAATTGCTACGGGAGCATGGATTACTCGACGATGCTTCTGAAAGTCACGTAAATACTAGGTCCAGGGCCTTCACAGATGGTCCCTCCGAACACTGGGATGGTCAGGTCTTTCCCCACGGAAGACCTCATTTTCCCTCCGGAGTCCAGGCTGAATTAGGACCCCCCAAACACACAACGCAGGGGAGGCTGCACATCGACGGCGAACAGGTCCCTTCCATGTTGGTTGTGGAAGGGCTATCTCCGTACCCAATGAGAAACGAAGTTAGACTTGGTTTAGGTGACCAGCTCCATTCTGTGGGGAAGGCCATTGGTTTTGACAGGTTGCAAGGTGTCAGTGAGAGACCTTATCATGATAAATTAGCGCCATCTGGTGAGCGAAGTTTCTCATTTAGCAACCAGCCTTCACCAGAGGACGAAGTGGGAGCATCACATCAAAATGGGCAGAACGAGCACAATTCCACGGCCCCTCGTCCACAGGAGGACCTGGACGAGTTGTATTATCTGAAACATTTTCCACAGCATGATGATCGGCAAGCTACTGGTGGGCAATCCGGATCGAAAGGGTTTCAAGTATCAAATGGGCCTGTTTTACTCTCTCACATGCCTCCTACTGGTCAAGTGAGAATGAGAGAAGACAGACGATCTTTTCAGGAAGCACAAATGGGTTATCAGAACTGGCCAGGCGATCAACGGACTTCTGTAAATCAAAACCCTGGAATACTGCAGATTCCTGATCTAGGACAGCATCAAGGTCCGCTGCAACTGGTGCACAATCAAGGTCCTGGACCGTTCCCTCAGCCAGCTCATCTTCAACCTTCGGAGCATTCTCCACACCAAAATGCCCAACCATTGCATGGTCACTTTTCTCAACCCATGCAAGGTCAACAAAGGCTCATCTCGTCTCAGGCCTGTAACATGCGACAACAACCTCACCTACCACTTCAAGTTCACTTTCAGCAGCATACTCACTTACATCCACAGGGCCATCTATCGCAACAGCCCAGTGCTCAGTCTGTCCAAACTCAACAAGCGTATCAGCAGTCTTCCCCTCTTCAACCAAGCCACAACCAGCAGCACGCTCCTCCCCAACTATCAGTTCCATCTACACAGATGCAACATTCACAGCATGTAAATGTCCCACAACATTTCCAACCCCAGCTCACGGTCATCAACCACCCAAGTAGTCAGGCAGTACTCTCGAGTCAAAGTTCGGCGAAACAGCAGGTCCACCAGACGGGTCAGTCTCATGTGCCTAGGTATTACCTGAATGCCCAGGGTATGTATCAACCGTATGGAAATGAAGCATTGGCCGTGCAAGGGAAAGTGATTGATAGTGTATCCGACATGTCTCAAGTTCCAGTGGTTCCTGGAAGAGGTCAATACCATCCTCTCTCTTTACCAGAAGCTTCAAGGCCACCACTTCTTCCTCCCCTTCCACCTCCTTCGAGCGCTCCTCCTCCTCCACCTCCTTCTCCTCCTCACACACCACCTCCACCCCATTCTCCACCAGCCGCTCCCCCTCCACCGCCTTCCCCTTCCCCTCCAAGAGAGCACACTGTGAACATTCCCGCAGGCTCATCCGTAACAACACATCCAGGCACAACTTCTAAGCAGCCTGATTTTGACGATCGTTCCCATGGATTTCACTATCAACATCCTCAGCATGGGCTTCATCAACCTTTACAAACTGCTGCGAATCAAGGCCCCGGCTTCCAAAATGTGGTAGGTGTGCAGGTCGCGTATGAATTGTGCAACGGTTGCCACTCAAAACCGAGCAAGTCCTTGTTGAAGGATGCACCCCAAGATTCTCTGTATGTTGAAAGGTTTTTTCGGACCGATTGATAGTGCCGAGGCGATGTACACGATTTCGAGCACCTTCAATGTCGTCGTCAGCAATTTACAGTCGCTGAGAGGTATGACTGCTAGAAGCTAATTGGGAGCATCGATCTTTGCAGGGAGCTCCGTACATGCAACAACCGTTGTATGGGCAGCAGTATGGAATGCACAACCCGCAGTTTAGTCAGAAACTTCTTCAACAAAAAGAGCAACCTAAAGTCGTGGATGCTGTTTCTATATTCAGAAGGCCCGGGAGATTGTCGCGCCCTGAGCGCTTCGTTATAATTCTTCGCGGACTTCCAGGTATGGGAATCCGAGTTGATTTATTTTATCTACTCCTTACTCCTTCCTTGCTCCATGCACTTTGTGCCAGTTGCCATCGTTCTGGAGTCTTTGGTGTTGCCTGTTTTCCGTAGCCTTAAACTGATTCTACGGGGTATCTGCTCTCGTCGACTACAACATTTTGCAACTAGTCTTCTTTCGAAATACTTTTCATATTCTTCCTAAATTCCTTACTACGAGCCAGGGAGGGAGACTTGTGGGTTACTAAGCTGCGACAGGCAGGCACTGAGTACAATTGTCCACAACCTCTGGGTGCCATCAGCTGGATCAAACTTGGCAGTTCTAAGAAACATCTTAGTAGGTACATATGTTCGTCTGAACAATACCATGATATGTGTCTCTCTAGGGAGTGGCAAGAGCTATTTAGCGAAGGCTCTACGCGATGTAGAGTTGATGAATGGAGGGACAGCTCCAAGAATACACTCGATGGATGACTACTTCATGACTGAGGTGGAAAAGGTAAGTTTTGGGGTTCTCTTTTTTTGGTCTATGGGCTCGTTTTAAGGTAGCAGTTAAGAACCTGCCTGATCCTAGTTATTTAGCATACACAAGACGTACAGGGGCTGTGATATTCATATGGAAGGTTTGAGCTTCCCCCAACAAGCGAGAACCTCATAATCTGTGGTATTTCTGGGTCTGGTCAATAGGTGGAGGGAGAAGAAGGCGGCCTTAACTCAAGTAGCATCGTGAGGGGCAAGAAAAGGGTCGTGAAGAAAGTGATGGAGTATTGCTATGAGCCAGAGATGGAAGAGGTGAGGCAGCTGCGTTTTTCCCAAGTAGAATAGTTTGTGACCCCTACAATCATGAAGAGATATGCTTTCTAAATTCTTGCATAGACTTTCAAAGTACTTGACTTCACTGATAATGTGGGGCTTTTTCTTTCAACTTATCCCAGCTCCATATCTTTCTGAACGTTATTTCTGGGTTACTGGCAGGTTTACAGGGCCAGCATGCTGAAAGCTTTCAGAAAGACATTGGAAGAAGGCATGTTTTCATTCGTAATTGGTATGATTCTACAAATGTGCACCTCTTCTTGTTTTATTGCTCTATAAAGCTGATTAACCTGAATGTCGTGAGTTTTGCAGAATTTTACATCTATATATGCACCTAGCCATGCCTGCCCCGTTCCTGATGCTTTAGTTATCTACCTTCTCATGATAAGGGGTTTGGATATATTTGTGATAGCCCTCATTAGATAGCAGCAGCAGCTACAGGTTAGCCTCAGGGATTTTTATGGTAAGTGCAGGAGAACATTTGGTTTCTTCTTCGGCCAGCTTTCTATTTATCTGTTTCTTGACTTGCACCTTGGCTCCATAGCAGGATGAGAGAAAATTAGGGTAGTTGTAGAGATTTTAGTGCTTGTTATGGTGAAGTTTGCACTTTTAAACTCGTGGCCTTAGCCATTCGACCAGCGGATACGAGCTGTATCTAGTACCTCCATGGGGTGGAATGCAATCAAAGAAAGGATGCAGTGTGAGTGAGCTGCGCCCTCTTTCTCTGTGTCCTACACTAATCACAAGATGCAGTGGACCATTGACCCTCTACATGGCTGGCTGCATGTGGGCCTCACCTTAATAGTGGATGACCGCAATGTGCTTGTCGCTGATTTTGCTCAGTTTTGGGCTATTGCGAAGGTATACCCCCTCTCTATTGTCGTTCATCTGCTATGTGCCCTTTTAATTTTAGCTGTTCTTGTCCCAGCTTTCCCCCTGTTAAGCTGCTAACTTCCCTGGAGCAATGCCTCCGAACATTCTGACTCGTGTCCTCCCGGGTATATGGCTGTTTTGCCAAGTCATACACTTCGTAAGAGGTTCTGATCAGTTGAGGCCAGTTCTTGGTACTTGTGGGCTTTGTAGATGTGGTAATAAGCTTAAGCAACGTCACTTGAGTTCTTTTAAATTGCTGCAAGGAAAGAAAAGCATGGTACATGTGCAGTGTTACCTGATTTTTCTGTTTGTCTAGAGGTAGATATCCGCCCGTGAGTTTGATTGACTGGTGCTTACGATTAAGCTTTAGGTTGTCCAAAGCCATGAATATATACGCAAAGAGGCATTGAGATGAGACCGTATGTGAGTTTTCATACCTGTGCCGAATTTTGAGCAGATGGTTGATAATCACCTCCTGTCTAGCCATCTCCTCCTGCGTTTCCTGCGGATGATCCTGTCTTATCATATAGCACTCGAGATTGATGTAGACGGTCGTCCGGATTTCCCTCCATGGTTGTCGAAGTATGGAATGTTTTTTAAGTAGGATAGTTGGTCAACAGCTACTAGCACTACACGGCAAAGAACCATTGTCTTAGTCAAGACTGTTCCAAAATGTACACAATCAATACTCTCTGTCCTCGAGGATTCACTATTTTTTATTTCGCTGATTATCTCGTGTATTTGTCTGTGTATGTCGTACCTGGCACTGATGCTGATTGGAATGACGGTCTTTTCCCGGCTCGTGGATTTCTCACTACAGCGATCTGGATACGAGGTTTATTTGCTGGAGCCTCCTTACAAGGACCCCGAGGTAACATATTCCTTCCCCGTATTTTGTGTCAACGAGTGCTGTGCCGCAGGTTGAACTTGTTTGGGTTATCAGTTTAGGTTTGAAATTCTTGACAGAAAATGTCGGTTGCCGCAATTCGTCTCACTATTACAGCAAATGTTGTCCATCATTTACCGTGGCTGATCACATGTTTCATGATGTGCAGGGTTGTACTGCAAGAAATGTACATAATTTTACTTTGGAACAAATACAGGGAATGGCTGAACGTTGGGAAGCAGCTCCCTCACTTTATTTGCAGCTCGAAATATCTGTAAGTTAACATGATTTCAATAATCAGTTGTATTGACATGTTAAAACTATGACGAAGTCAATCACGCAAGCAATTCCATTCTTGCTTTATCACAAGACCAAGCCATTAGATGTGAACGAGTAGGTCACGTTCCGAATAGACCAGATGATCAGTGGGTCAGATATAACTGCGTTATCAGTCTTATTCTGTCAGTTTGTGTTACAATCCTTTTCTCTTGTGATTGCCTTCTATTCTTCACGCATTTCAGTTTGTACTACCATTTAGCGCAGGGTGTATGATTTGAAGGCTTCATAGAGTATTTCCTCAAATTGTTCTTCGGTCATATGTTCAGCCTGGAAGATGGTAGGTAGTGGTCCAAAATCAGCAGTAGATTCAAAATTTAGATCGGTGAGGGTAATCGAACTTGAGTATCTATCTTTGTAACGAATCTTCTTGTTTTGGTTTCTCGTTTGAGTTGAGGATGGTCAATGGCGTTGCTTCCATGCCTATTTTTTATGCGTAATGGAGAATACCATCTCTATCTACATCGCTTACTGTCATTATTTCGCTTTTCTTGCTGTTTGTATATTGCAGTTTAGGGTTCTCTGTATAATTTTGTTGTCCATGCGTTACCACGTTTGCTCTGCTTAGTATAGTACAAATTGCAGATCTGTAAACTGAAAGTATATTTTGTGACAAGTTTGTTTCTCCAGTATTGTACTCAGTCCTTTACCACCGAATGTCCTTGAAAATGAACCTTATTTTCTGTTCTAAATTTGGGGATTATCTTTCTTGAGGTCAAAATGTATTTCTTCTATCTTGTATGTATGTACAATTTTATTCAAACAATGCGTTTGAAGTCTTATTATTGTAAGTGAAGATTTTGACCGCTACTGTGTTGTGCATGCCTCTCGCAGTCATTATTTCGAGGAGATGACCTAAATGCTCAAGATATCACAGAAGTACGTTTCTCCGGTTACTATTTGCAGTTATCGACTTGCTGAAGTCTTTGGGTATTTTCATAGTGTAGAATTAGTCACTTACTCCTGTGGGGAAATTTTCTCGCTCCATCAATGCCGAAGGCGTTCTGATAGTGCGCCTGAGAACATTGTGTAATTTTTTTGTTTTAACTAAGATGTTGGCAATCTTATTGTTTGTGAAACAGTTTCGTGCGAAGAGATAGCTTTTGTAACTGCAAAGTGAAGGTTTTTGTTAAGTAGCTTTTTACGGATGTGTAGGTGGAGATGGATGCTGATGACATGGAGCGTGAAGTAGAAGAACAGGATGAAAGCTTTAAGCTGGCAGGAGATGCAAGTCTTCCAGCAGCGTATTCGACAGGAAACGGTAGTTTGTAACTAGTATTTGATTTAGATTCCTTGTTTGATTCAGCGATACCATATTCTTAGAGGTCACATGTAACTTCTTTCATGTCTTTTAGTCACCATCGATATACATTCTTATGTTTCGTGTACTTGCTGTATTGTACCTTTTTGTTCCCTCCTTTGATCTTTTCATCGCTTCCAGGTGAAAAGGCGCCCATCAAAGGAGACAGATGGGAGGTTATCGGTAAGGAGGCCGAGGAGGATCATCTCAAGCCTGCGAAACGTAGAAAGGTGAAAGAAGAAGTAGAGAACGACAGTGACAGCAGTAGTGACGGTGAGGGTGTTGAGAACAACGCCCTCAGTGGATTAATGATGGCCTATGGGAAAAAGGATAAACATGTTCAATGGGCTGATCAACAGGTATATCTCCTGTGCGATTAGATATGGAGCTTCGTTCCTTCAGTGGTCACGCTATCATTGCCAGTCAAGTTTATTGCTTGAGAGCGCATTTTCTTTGAGTGTGCAGGACGGAAATAGCGGCAACAAGGGATTTGCCATAGGCTCTGTCCCTGAAAAAGAAGTTTGCCTTGTAATTGGCCCCGGGCCCGGTTATAACAAGGTGAGAGCTACTTCTTCGCCGGCTTAAGGAAGGCTCTTTTGAACCTAAGAAGTGTTGGCAGAAAGTCACAATGAAAAACAAAATATCACGGAATATTTCGGAGTATTGCGCAATACTACGAAATAATATTTGATAATATAGATGTTGGTTACAATTTTTTTTATCCTAGATTGTTGTTTGAAGTTAGCAGTTTCGATTTTTGATAGCTGGCTTGTCTAGAAAATACACTGACAACCTAGATGTCATCGCCTTTTTTGTAATGGTTTTCGTACGGTCTGCTCCTACACAATCCAAGATCTTGCGAAGCACTGGCATGAAACATACGTCTACGTAGCGTGTAAACAACAATTTGACCTTTATCAACTTGGCTTATCAATGATTAACTTTTTCTCTATCAGGCTTCAAATCCAGTTGAAGAGGAAGATAAAAGAACGCAAGCAGACAGTGACATTAAGCACACTACGAAGTTTTTGGAACAGTATCGAGCCGAGCAAGAGGCGTTCAAAGCTGTATTCGCGCGTAGAAGGCATCGAGTTGGGGGTTTTGATGACGATGAGAACGGCGAATAATGCGGCCTTTTTGTACAGAGTGCACTTTAGATTACCTCCTTCCACGTTGAAGGTAACCAGGTAAGGAGGACGGGTTTTGTGTATAATGTGAGGAAGTGTCATCTATTACTTCAAAAGTGGGAGGAAGTTCTCCTCATTCAAATCGTAACATATTGTATTGTCCAATCAATGAAACTTCATTTGGAAGTGATCAATGTTCTGTGTTCCTTCTCACCTGTAACGATTTCAAGCAGCGGGCTAGAGAAAATCTTACGGTACATGGCTCCCCAGGTTTTCCAGATAATTGTTTTGTATTGTTGGTAGTGATCTTAATTCTTGGTAATCATGATTATCTGAAGTTTGAATTCTCTTGAAGCTGCTGTTACCTACTCTGGACTGAGCAAGGCACCGAAAACACTTCAATATCCATTCAAATTTCTTTTGAGCCCTTACGTCGACCTTTCAGCTGTTGTGCGTCACGAGATGCTCATTTCTACAGGACCCACTGCACCCCAGTTAGGAAGACTGAAAGACTCGCATTGAGGTGAATAAGGACTCTAGAGCAAAATGGAAAGTTAGGATTGCTGAGGCAGCTCAAGTTTGTAATTCTCAAAGACAGGTCTGGCTTCTCATTTCAAGAATAGTAGTACCTCAAAAGAACATATGGAATAAACTGGGCATGTTTCCTACGCCAAACTTGGCATCGAAGAGAACCCTTGATCCGAAGACTATTATACCAGCGTCCGAAGGGATTGGACGTGAATTGCAGTCGAGAGCTATAACTTAAATTAGAATGTAGATTCAAAAATCCTCATAACAGCTTTCAAGTACAATGTCAAATAACCTTGTAAACAGGCGCCAGTTTGTACTAGGTGATGCGCTGTCTTGAAATTCACGAACCTGACCTTGAGGAAACTCCGACAACGAGAGAAATACACCGTCATGTAGTCGAAACCTGTCAAGAGCTACAATGTTTCTACCCTCGAAATGCGGTGTATGGACAATTTCGTACGAACATGAAAATGCAGTTGGATGAAAGGAGAATGATTCACTTGCTCGATCGTGATCGTGTTACTACATGTGAATTCACTACATGTGAAGAACACACACTTAATGATGATACATACCTCCAGTAGAGATATTTCTATATTGAACATAACTTGACCATAGACCCGGCATATGGAGATAATTATTTGATGGTACCAGTGGGAAATCTACGATGTCTAAAAGTTATAATAAAAGTTTTTATAACCTGATACTTCGCGGTATAGTGTGGAGAGTGTTTGCCATTATCGGGCCAATATATATTTTCCCGTGAGTAGTTTTGCACCATGATGTTGAAGTGATGCGATAGTGTCGTGGAATAACTCCATACAAAAAACTGTTGAGAGCTTCTACCCGAAATTAGCCCCCAGATCCTTTTGGAACATTGTTTGTGGAACGTCGAGGGTAACTTAGTGTAAAATGAAACCTGTAGGTTCCATCAAGTTTGTTTACTTACGTTAACATCAAGTAATTTACTCCCGCATATGTCAAGTTGCCTATAACAAGTTTTATACAAACGCAATAGAACATCAATTTGTATTAGATATTTCCGTATTACTCTAGTTGCACTACTGGCTTCGATTGTTGTGTTTTCTATATTTGTACCAAATATGGCTAATTACGCTACTAGCTCTAGCTATTTTTTTTCTAGACCAAGCAGTGATAATTGCAGTACCAGTTTTCGTTGTATCTCCTGAGAACAGCGCTAAACTTCACTAGAGTTGACGGTGCATAATTCTAGAATCTGGTAAAAGAGGGGGTCTCTACAATTATATGTGAGTCCAGAATTGATACGTGTTTCCAGGAACAAAGTCCAACTCAAATTTAGTGATTCAACATTGATTCATAGAGTAGATTCCTTCAATGTCAATCAATGAAGGTTTTAGCTCAGTGGAAGGTGTTAAATTTTGCATTGTCCGTAAGAACATCCTTTCTACATGTTCACAATGTTTTTAAAAACTTTTGGAAACAATAATTTTGATACGTTCAACAGCTAAATTAGTACATATTGACAATAAACCTAAACATACTGGCTCAATTTTTTATCACACATTGCATATTTGATACAATGATACTTGATGTGAATTTGTTTTCCTTTGTTGTTTTTTCATTTGATTTGCAGCAAGATGTGTTGAATTTTGTTGTCTTTCATATGATTTGGAGCAAGATTTTATCCATTTTGATTATCACAGTGAAGATTCACGATATATTGTTTCAAACCCATCTTAATGATAAGTTCATTGAGCTACATATTTTTTCTCGCTACTTCTGCTTCAGCTAGATATTCAACTTCCATTATGGACTAAACTATGCATTTGTGCAAAGTATATCTTCAACCAATACATCAATCATCAAGTGGAAACATAAATCTAGTTTTGGATTTATTCTTCTCAAGATTTTGTCCATATAGGCATCACTGTAGCATAACAACTATTTGCGATTGTCTAATTAGCTATCAAAAAAAAAATCATAATCATTGGTATTTTTCAAATTTATGATATTCACTTTTACTTATATATTAGGCTTTGTGCACATGAGCAAATACACAAATTTGCTCACAACATTGTCATAGAAAATTCATGACATTTTTTACTTTTCAATGACATATGTTCAACATTGAGTCATAGAAAGTTTGAAATGTGATGTCAAAAAAATTCATAGTTCTCTAGAATTTGCCATATAGAATTCCTCAAGCACATATTGAACGTACTTGTTTTAATTCAATCATTGTCTTTTATTCCAAATTTTTCATGAATATACATTCAGAATGTACTCTTGAACTTATCAAAATCTTTCATTTCAAATGTAGACTTTAGTTGATTTTTTCATTTGTTGACGTTGGATTGATTTTTTGCCAAAGTGAGCATGATATTCCATTACTAGAATAATAAGATTGAAAATCTCATTATTCATCTTTTGCATGTACATGCATAAATACACACTCTGTGAAAATCTTTGTGCTTTTATGAATCCATTAAACCTTGGATTTCATTGTCTAAGAGCTTGTTTCAATCCATATTATGTTTTTAAAAATCTACAAAATCAAATTTTCTTGAATTTTTTTTCAAATTAAATTGGTTTTATCATGTAGAAATCTAGAGAAAATGTTTATAACTACATCCATTTGATCAGTAATCAAAGCAAGTGCACTTATCATTTAAATTTTACCATACTGTGAAATAGATAAAATTTTTTTTGTATAATTCACATCTTTGTCTTGTCTGAAATCTCTAGCCATCAACCTAACTATGAAATTTTTTTTCTTGTGATCTATTAGATTGTTCATTAGCTCGTAATGAATCAATGCTTAAATTGTTGTGTTTATTTTTACTTCAGTATGCCTAATGATTAAAAATGTGAACATTAATGATTAAAATTTAACACAAAATGTTATTAGTCATTCTAATCATCAGTGCACATACTTTTAATCATTGATGTTCACTTTTAATCTCAATTTGGACTCTTCAATCTCATACTTTGCTAGATTTTATGGCCGTCATCTTGTTTTGCCAAATAGTTGAAGTTGTATTTTGTGATGTTTTGACAATGTGTCTTCTTTTTCATTCATATGTGGTTTTCAAAACTTCTACGTGACTTCCAAGTTTGACTAGAGCAAGTTTTGATGATGGGATGTAATATGAAACATGTGCTAGACAAAATGATTTTTGCTATGCGCTTAGGTCTCTTAAATATCTAACAGAAGCTAAGATTTAAATTCTAATCATGGCCAATTGCTAGTCTTTTCTGGCAGTTAGGCTTTAAAATTCTTTAGTTTCCTTATGACATTATAGTTTTTCGCGGTCATGCATAGAAATTTAAAAATTCTCTATCAATCCGTTCATATCTTTTGTTGCAAGTCGTTAGAATTTTCTCGCAGTTAATCATTCTAATATCTTTGCTTTGAACTCTATACCAATGCAGTGCTAGCTTGCTATTTGCCCATCAACGTCTTATGCAACTCGTTTTAGCTCAAATTGATGGCTATTTTTGGTACACCAATTACTTCTTTTGTCTTTTGATCTATCTTAGTGTTTTGCTTGTCTTTAGACCTACTTTTTTTTCCTTTTTTTTGGAGTTTTTTTTCCTCAATTGTTGTAGACAAAATTGATGTTGATTTGTCCAAGAAATTGCATTTTCTATTCATCAATGTCTAAATGTCTCAATATGAAGCACAAACAAAGCGCTTTCAAAACCTATTATCTCCTCCCTCAGTTATTCAAAAAAATTTTGGTTCATTAATCGCTAGAGTATCTTGTACGTAAAAAATCAGATTAGTACGCATACATTAGCTTTTTTTTTGTCCTATCAAAGTATATAAGTAGCAAGTCGACTTCTCTCAATAAAATTTCAAAACAAAATCAATCCTCAAGTATATTTTGCAGCAAATTTTTAGAAATACACTTTTATCATTCCAAATTTTACAAAAATCCACTTATGATTTTGTGTATTGTTTAAATCAACTAAATATTTGTTCGCTTTCATGTCTAGCTTAATGCGCAAAAGGTCATCAAATTTCTTAACTTTTGCGCTATTGTCAGACATTTTCATTAACATTTGACTCTTAAGATCATTTCATTTCTTGATTTACATTTTCAAGTTTTTAATTCCAACTATCATTCTAGTATCAGCTTGCATGATTGCTTGATGTGATGTTTGAACGCCATATAGCGATGATGAGTAAGTTCTTAAAGTTCTTGAGAGTTCTTGATTTGTCTTAATTGAAGATTTTATCTTGTTGATCTCTAACAAAGCACACAAGATTGAAAAGTGGATTTTTGACGTTGTCATTCTCCTTGACTTTGTGATTCATAATAATAATTATTTGATTTGAATTTAATGTGGAGTTCATCAACTAGATTTTGTCATTAAGTATATAATAAAGAATGTCTTCAATGAACAATTATTTTCAATCATGATTGAATTAACACAAAAATGTATCTTGATCTTAGAGTTGCAAATTACATGAACTTGTGCTGTGAATCACATGCTTTTAACAAAAAATATCATTTATTGATTTGAATTTTATTGTGCATAGTTGCTCGCTCATATCAAGTCAAAGCAGTTTAGCTTTTGATCCACTTTGACTTTGATGGATAAAACTTCTTTCAATGATCATTTCATCACTTGAGTAGTTATTAATTTCCGTTCCATCTAACTACTTTTCTACTTCAAGAACAAAATGCTCTAATAATCTCATTGCATCTTTCATTGACGACATTGAAATGATTGG